AAAATTGATTTTTCACAGAGAGGAAGAGAGAGGGCTAGAGAGTTAAAAACATTGATGAGAGTCATCGATCAGCTGCCTCTTGCACACCCGCTACCGGGGATATGCCCGCAACCAAGGTACATGCCCTTGCCCGGAATCGAACCTGGGACCTTTCAGTCCGCAGGCCGACGCTCTATCACTGAGCCAAACCGGTCCCGGCTATTTTTTTTTTTTTTTTAAAGAATTGATGTCCACCCTGGCCGGTTTGGTTAACCGGTTAGAGCCGTGGTCGGCAAACTGCAGCTCTTGAGCCACATGCGGCTCTTCCACAAAACACCACGGCCTGGACGGGTCTATTTTGAAGACGTGGCGTTAGACGTTTAAGTTTAAAAAATTTGACTCTCAAAAGAAATTTCGATCGTTGTACTGTTGATATTTGGCTCTGCTGACTAATGAGTTTGCCGACACTGGGTTAGAGTGTCAGACTGAGGACTGAAGGGTGCTGGGGTTGCAAGCTCAGTCACCAGTGAGGGGTGTGCAGGAAGCAGCTGATCAATGATTCTCTCACCACTGATGTTTCTATCTCTCACCCTGGAATCAACAAAAATATATTAAAAAGAAAAGAGATGTTTCTATCTCTCTATCCCTCTTTCTTCCTCTCCCTAAAAAAAAAAAAAAAAAAAAAAATTGAATAAGCAATAGGACGCTGAGGGATAACAATGTTACTTGCCCCTTAGAGGTTGTGAACGAAACACCAGCCTTGCCGAAACCGGTTTGGCTCAGTGGTAGAGCGTCGGTCTGCAGACTGAAAGGTCCCAGGTTCGATTCCGGTCAAGGGCATGTACCTTGGTTGCGGGCACATGCCCCGATGGGGGTGTGCAGAAGGCAGCTGGTCGATGTTTCTCTCATCAATGTTTCTAACTCTCTATCCCTCTCCCTTCCTCTCTATAAAAAAAATAAAAAAAATAAAAATGTATTTTTATTAATTTCAGAGAGAAACTTTGGGGATTGAGCCCACAACCTGAGCATGTGCCCTGACCAGGAATTGAACCGTGACCTCCTAATTCATAGGTCGATGCTCAACCACTGAGCCACGCCTGCTGGGCAGAGGTCCTGAGTTTTATAATCTACCAGAGGACCAGTGCACAAAATGTGTGCCCGGATAGGGTCCCTAGGCCTGGCCGGGGATCAGGGCAGATAGGGGCTTTCCGGCTGCCGGCCAGGGCCTTCCTTTGTTCTGCACCACCCAATGGTTGTCAGCATACATCATAGCGGGCAATAGAACTCCCAGTCTCCCAAACTCCCGAGGGAACACTTTGCATATTAGCCACACACACACCCGTGTTTCCCCGAAAATAAGACATCCTCCGAAAATAAGACCTAGTGCATGGAAAGATAAGACATCCCCTGAAAATAAGACCTAGTGCAACTTTGGGAGAAAAAATTAATATAAGACAGTCTTATTTTCGAGGAAACAGGGTGCGTGTGTATACACACACACACACACACACACACACACACACACTCTGAGGCCCGATATATGAAATGTGTGCAAGGGACTTGGCCTTCACAGCCCCGGCTTCATCCGGAAGGTCACCAGGCTGTCCAGTCTAATTAGCATATTATGCTTCTATCATAAATAGATTATAAATAGATAATGGGCTTTATGCCTTGAGGGCTTCAATACTTAAGGGGTATTAATTTAGGAAGGGGGTTTGAGCAATCTATTTGAATCTTAATAGGTATGGATTCTTCCAATATCAATTGAAAATTTTACCCATAAAGAGGAAGGCAGCTAGTCCAACAGGGACAAATCATTAGGGTTCCTAGGTTCAGGTACAGTATGGTCAGAACAAATAAAAGATGCTGAAGAGTCAATTAATTCATTTGATTAACTATTTTGACAGCTACTGTCAAATTCTAGAATTGTTTTCCCCTTTCAGGAGAAAGAAATTCCGGCAGGACACTTCCCTAGGCAATAAATGAACAGAGACCTGGCCAGGTATCCGGGTTGGGTGGAGCATTGTCCTGATGCACTAGTAGGTTGCGGTTTCAGTCTTGGGGAAGGGCACATGATCAAACAATTAATGTATAAATGGGAACAATAAGTTGATGTTTATCTCTTGGGGGAAGGTGGGGGGGAAATCCAAAGAAAAACTACTTTAAAACACACAGAGGTACAAAGAAGGATTGTTAGTTTGATTCCTAGTCAGGCACATGCCAGGGTTGTGGGCTCAATCCCGAGAGAGAGAGAGAGAGAGAGAGAGAGAGAGAGAGAGAGAGAGAGAGAGAGAGAGAGAGAGAGTGTGTGTGTGTGTGTGTGTGTGTGTGTGCAGGGAGCAGCTGATCAATGTTTCCCTCTTGCATAAAAGTTTCTCTCTCTAAAAATCAATTTTAAAAATCTTTAAAATAAAAAAGTATGTGTATCTCTTAAAAGGCATAAACAAAAGGAATAGATTCAGAAACCTATTGAAGTTCAAAATCCCACAATTAGAACTGTTTTTATTACTCTGAGGCTGCTTTATAGCAGTGGGTTGGGCTTAGGACAATGATTCATGGCCAATCTGGAGAAAAGTTTCTCCAAGCCGACTGCCAGGGAGGATTGGGAAAAGACCTAGTAGTTCTCAGAGCCACATTACTGGAGATTAGGAGGACTCTGGGAAGGCTGGAGGCACCTGAAGCGCCAAAATTGGCAACAATCTCTTTACAATGTCCCGGTCTGTTGGGACAAAAGAATCTAGCAGGCTTTTGTTTTAGTATAGGGGCCTTCATTTGCCTAAGCTGAGAATAAAAATTCTTAGCAGTCTTGCTCTGGCTGGTGTGGCTCGATTGGTTGGACGTCATCCCCTGCACCCACCAAAAGGTTTCAGATTTGACTCCGGGTCAGGGCACACGCCTGGGTTTCGGGCCAATCTCACCCAATGCTGAGACTGATCCTCATCGAGTAGCAAATGAACTAGCTGATTATAAACTGGAAACCCATGCTGGTAGGTTTGAGTAACTGTCAAACTCTTCACCAGATGTTTTGAGGGTCCTCAGTTGCTTTAGGAAATTCTCTCACTAAAGCTCATAATTCAGCTTTAGTCCAAGGAACATATGAAGCTTGAGGTCTATTAGAATCCTCAGAGGGTTGAACTTGAAATTCAGAGAAGAAAGGCATCAGAGGAACCCACCAGCTCTTGGACACCCCAATTCAGAGAAGAAAAGCAAAGAAACTGATAGTGGAAGGCCAGATGGCTTCCGAGGAGGAGATGGAGAAGAGCCTGAGGCAAAGGAGCTGGGGTAGGGATGGGGGTGGAGGGAAAAAGGACAAGAAGATGCTGGAGGTGAGGAAGCCATGTTCTCTCTCTTTGGAAGGTCAGTATCCTCGGTTAATTCTCAAATTTTATTGCACAATGAGGCAATTTCAAATTCTTGGTAACATTTGAAGTTTCAAAACATTTCATTTACCTTTGCCAATGTTAGCGCTTGGATTGTCCAAACTTTTTTAAAATAAGAAAAGTTTGAGAATCTCAAAGATTCCCCAAAATGGCCACTGATACTCTTATTTTAAAAACAAAAAAAACAACAACGTGTCTATTGATCTTGATTCTTTTGAAGAGAAAAACATAGAAGGGCTGCCTCTTGCACGCCCCCTACTGGCGACAAGCCCGCAATCCGGGCATATTCCCGGACCGGGAATCCAACCTCTGACCTCTGGGTGCACGGGTGATGCACAACCACAGAACCCACAACAGCTGGGCGCCACTGATACTCTTAATTACTTTTGTACTTTTGGTCAGACAAGCCCATGTAGTTAAATATGCACATAAAGAGTGACTGAGGGGGCAATGTTAAAATATGTACACAGATAATAATTTAATTTAAAAAAAAAGAGAGTGACTGAAACTTTTAGGTGTGCCTTTAGGAAGGGCGGTCCAAGAATATTTAGATAACTGACACCCCATTTTCAGAGTTTTTCTTTAGAGCAAGGGCTTAAAATTGTCTAAAACAGCTTAAGCAACTTGCAGCCAATCTCACTTCAGAACAGCTCGATCACAGAGTCCGGGCCAAAGGCTTTTTAAAAAGCAAATTCTTTAGTGGAGACAGCCTGTTTCAGGAAGAAACAATCCAAGGCTGAATAACAAATTGCCCCTTATCAGCAGTCTGATTCCCCTTAGGGAGTCTGGCTAGAGTACCAAACTGAGCTCACGAACAAACGAGACCTTCAAGCAAAACAAAACACTCAAAACAGCTCCAGAGTAAAGCTCGAGAAGCTCCAGAACAAGAAGCAGAAGCACAGTTCCGAGAAAAGACTTACCCTTCCCGGCTCCTGAATTGGAAAGGAGACAGTGAACTCAAGGACAGCTCTACGGGCGCCAGCACCTGCTTGCCCCTCAGGCCGAGGCAATGGGGTCTCTTCTCTGGATTCCGAGAGCCCCCCAAAATTCAGTTTAAAAAAAAAAAAGTCGACCAGGCATTTCATCACCAAAAAGGGTTTATTCAGGAAAAAGGAAGGATTGCAACTCAAGAACTTACAGACTTGGTGAGCCACGTGCATTTTTTCGCGGAAAGAGGATAGAGAAAGTGCTTTAGAAAAGGGCACCGGAAGTTAAGGGGCGGGGCTGACACGACCATAGAGCTCCGTTGTAACTAGAGAGACTCCCGTAGGCCGCCCCTGATATAGGGTGCGAGAGCGCCCCCTGTACGCCGCTTAATCCTGTCTAGGTTGAGGTCTCTATCACAAACTTTGACACCGGCAACCTTATTGAATGGAGCCCCTGGTGGAGTCCCTGAAGAGGGCGGCGGAAAAAAGGGTCCGGGGAGAGACGAGCGGAGACTTCCGAAAGGCTCGCTGGGGCCAGAGCAGCAGACGTCGGAAGTCCTACTCCAACCGGCGCTTCCCTAGGGCGGAAGTCACTCCTGCACTTCCGCCGGGCTGGGCCGTTGTTGGGCGGGGTGGTGACGTAGATCCGGAAGGGGCGGGCCCGCCAGGAGACTGGCGGCGCCGCGCCGGCCGGGAGGGGGCCGGAGCCCTTACCATGGCGGCGGGGGCAGACGCCGACAGTCGGCGCGCGGCCCTGGAGACGGCGACGGGGGCGCCCGAACGGGGCGGCGGGAGCTGCGTGCTGTGCTGCGGGGATCTGGAGGCCACGGCGCTGGGCCGCTGCGACCACCCGGTGTGCTACCGCTGCTCCACCAAGATGCGGGTGCTGTGCGAACAGCGATACTGTGCCGTGTGCCGCGAGGAGCTGCGCCAGGTGCGTCGCGGCCGCCGGACCGCGAGTTCGGGGCGCCGGGGCGGTCACGGGGCGCGGCCGGGCGGGGCGGCACAGGGCGGCGGGCATACGGCATCCGGAAGGAGACTTTCCTTCCTGGTGTCCACCCGCCGGCCTGATGGCGCCTGTTTCCAAAAGGGAGGCCTGGCGGGCCACCCCGGGGCAGTGTCCTGGCCGTGCGGCCTACTGTGGGTCGTCTGGGGTCGGACGCCGAAGCTGGCAGAGATGGGTTGAAGAGGGAGTGGTCCCCTAACCCTCTATCCCCTGGGAATTCTTGTCGGGCCATAGAAATGAGTATGGTCAGAGTAAGAACTCGACCGGCTTGTCTTTTGAAGTTTATTCCTCAGGAGTCTCCAGGCTGGTGGAGGAGACAGGGCAAGTGGGCACCTCCAGAGGCAATCTGTTTTGGAAACACACGGTCAGACGTGGCTTTTCCAGCCCGGCTATGTTCCTGGCCTACCCCACCCCACCGTACTGAGACTGTTATTTTTCATCTATTGGTGCCCACCAGAGGGGAAGTCAGAACCATTGAAGTCTCCTCAGAGTGCTTGGGTGGATGGAGAATTCTATGAAGTTTTCCTTCTTGCCAGTTCCCACCGGGGGCTCATTCAGCTCTCTAGTGAAGGGGGGAGTTTCTGAGTCTGTCCTGATTGGGAAGCCCTGGAAGGATCAGAGGGCATCAGGGAGCTCTCCCTCCTTCCCCGCTATGCCAGCTGCTGGCTGGGAGCACCAAGCTGTGGCTCCCATGGTTCGCTGCCCTTTGAGATCTGTTTGCTTTCAGCGTTGTGAAATTTGCCTGGTTTGTTCATGGAAAGCTTGGGCTGGTGACATCTGCCAGGGACTCTGGCTTTCCCTTCCTGGAAGTGAGACTGAAACGACACTGTTGGGGGATAGGATTCTTCTTTTTTCTTTTTTAAAGTAGTCATTGATGTCAAAGGAGCCAAGTGGGTTCTGTGACTCATGAGTACTCTGTGGGCACCTACTTTGTGTCCTATCAGAAAAAGACACTTGGGGATGCTGTCGGTCTGTGATGAGTGGACAGAGATGGACTGGGTCTGGGAGGGATGTGGGGTGTGGGCAGTCAGGGAACTATGGGCTTACTCAGAGGGCACCTCCCAGCTTTGCCAGAGCCTGCCCTGCCAGCCAGTCTTGAGTAGATGATGTAACTCTTGAGTGTCTAGGTGTCCCAGCACACCTGTAGCTTCCACCCAGGAAAGATGGTGCTGAGGAGACCATGGTCATGGGCACTGCTGGTCTCATCAGAAGTGAGCTGATACCTATTCTGCTGTAGCCAACATCTGGTCTCTCACTCCTGTGGGACCCATGCCCTCCCCAAACTCTGTGGCAAGGGCGTGGTGACATGAGCTGTCAGTAGGATCCAGCTGTGTGGTTTGGCATCAGATGACCCTGGCCGACCCTAGCCTTCTCAGGCTTGCCGCAAATTGCCCAGCAGCAGGAGGGTGTCCCAGGAAGTTTGGGGAGATGATGCTCCTCTCCATCCTGCTTCACTCCCTCTCTCTCTCTCTCTCTCTCTTTTTTTTTTTTTTTGTACAGAGAGGAAGGGAGAGAGATAGAGAGCTAGAAACATCGATGAGAAACATCGACCAGCCGCCTCTTACACATCCCCCACCGGGGATGTGCCTGCAACCGATGTACATACATACCCTTGACCGGAATCGAACCTGGGACCTTTCAGTCCACAGACCGATGCTCTACAGCTGAGCCAAACTGGTTTCGGCTAAAAGTTGATTTTTAGAGAGAGAGTAAAGGGGAGGGAGAGAAAGAGAAACATGGATCGGTTGACTCCTGTACGCACCCTGACCAGGGATTTAATGGTGATCCCTCGGTGCACCAAATGATGCTCAACCAACTGGCCACACTGAACGAGGCACTCCCACTCTTGAACTTGCAACTTTGCCCTAACCCTTTCTGTTCCCGTGTTGAGCTCTACAGTGTTCTCTCAATTCCTGTGTCCCATACCAATTTGGGAATCCCACGGCAACCTCCAGCCCAGGACCTGCCTCAGCTCTGCCCTCCCTTATGGGACCAAGTCTTTGAAAAACACCTGGGAGGAAAGTGTGCCAAGATGCTATGTGAAACAGGCCAGCTCTATGTGCTGGTGAATTCCTGCCCCTCCACAGAGTGCTTCCCTGTGCCGGCCGGTGGGGGCAGGCATGGGAAGGGCAGACGCAGCATAGTCCTGCAGCTGCTGGGCAGGCGAGGAGCCAGATCAGTCTAGATTGCTGGCAGGTGCCCAGGGTGGAGGCCGAGTGCATACAGGTTGTAACTGATGTCAAATCCCCCTGATGGCATCTTTCTCAAGGTAACTTCTTCCAAAAGATGATTCTTGCATTGCTCTCTGCCTTGCCCTGATCCCCATGATGTCAAAGAGACTTGATGGGACTACTCTCAAAGTGGGATGGGTCTGAGCTAGGATAGGCCACCTAATCCAGCCCCACCCCCATTTCACAGGCAGGAAGGGGGTGGCCAAAGGCAGGTTCTGCCGACTCAGGTCATACTTCTCTGTTTTTTGGTGCCTCCTCTGCACCACGTTGGTCCTGGGCCTCGTTTAAGATTGTCTGTCATTATCTGGGCTCCTCTGGTGCCTGAACTCTCTAGGTGGGACAATCGCCAGGAGCCCATACTATATTGTCTCCCTTGCTCAAGGCCATCGTCACTGCCCACCCCTCACCACCTGGCTTACTCTTGCTAGTGGTCACTGCTGGCAGCACCTTCCTCTCGTAACTCACTCTTACTAAGTGCTTGCTGCAGACTGGCAGTGGGAAGCAGCGAGGCCCCAGTCTCACCCCTGTGGAGCGCTCCAGTGTGAGCTGTCACCCCCATCTCCCCCTTCCTCTCAGGGACCAGCCTGGCCATCCTGGGCCTAGCCAGGAGTGCGATTGCCTCCTTGGTCAATCACTTCGCCTAGCTGCCCAAGGGGCTCTCCAAGATGGCCCATCCTCAGGTGTCCAGTCTGGTCTGGCCTTTGTCCTTGGACCCATGACCTCCTTCCATCAGGTGATCACCAGAGTGGGTAGGTCTTGGGCCACATTTGTTGGACCCCTGGTGAATTCCTGCCCACCCCTGGCCAGGCCACCCTGCCCTTGTCCTTGTCCAGCCATTCAGTCTCACCACTTGCCTCATCCTCTGCTGGGGACCAGGGATATTAGCCATACCAGGCACACTGCCATCCTCTCGTCTGCGCATTGCTGGGCTCGCTCTCTGGTGCAGGCCTTGGGGGTGGGGAAGAGTCTCACAGTTTGTCTGGGAGGGGTAATTAGCATTTCCCCGCTCCAAACCTGCCACCTTCATCCTCATAAAACCCTAGCTATGCCCACAGTCACTTTCCTTTCCCAAGCCTTTTCCTGTGGTTCCAGTCTCTTCCTGAGCCAACCTAGCTAGTATCTTCCTTCTGGCCTGGCTCAAATGTGCCCAGCCTGGGCTGTCCCACCAGACTACTCAGGAGGGACTGGCATCTACCCAAGCAGCCTGTTGGTTGGTCTTGAGACCTGCACCTCGCCTCTGACCATGGCCAAGGTGCCTGCAGCCCAAAGAGGCACCACCCACAGTAGATGGGAGCTGGCGCTGAAATGAGGATGCTGGAGCAGGGAGGTGGTGTGATGGGGCGTCCCAACACTGGTTTTTCTGGGGAACGAAGTCTTTCCTCTGCTGCGTCTGTTATGCTTCGGTATTTCTTGGCAGCCTCAAGGATTCTCTTGCAGGTTGCTTGCTTGGCCACCTTGCAGGCAGATGCTAGGGCTCCTAACTCTGCAGCCTGTGTTGCCTCAGCCTAGCTACAGCACCTCACTTGGCGGATAGCTCCTCCAGCAGCATCCTGCCTGGCTCTCAGCCCTGGGCCTTCAGACACTGCATCTGGGCTGGAAAGGTACCCTTGGGAGGACTCAGAAGGCAGGGCTGGGCATGGGCTTGCCATAGGAGAGCAATCCCATGAGAAGACTCCAGCTTGAGGTCCAGGCCTGAGGATAAGCTGGGGAGAGGTGGAGGGTAACCCTTTAGTGGTGGAGCCACAACTCCCCCCTGAGGACATGGAACTGAGATGAGGTTCCACTCCAGCTCAGCATGTGGCAGAGGGCAGTGCCTGGCCTTGCCACACATGAGGGCCAGCGGAAGAAACTCTGTGGGGCCCTGCTCAACCCCACACCCCCCAGAATGGGTGTGGCTCCTTGAGCTCTTGTAGGGGCAGAGTAGGGGGAAGACTTGGGTGTCAGCCTCCTCCTCCCACCCCTACTCTCCAGCGTGTCCTCAGAGGTGGAGTCTGAGCTCCTGGGCGCCTTACCCAAGGAACCAGTTTTAACTACCCTGCTGCTGGAGGACAGAGTGAGCACCCGCTCTCCCTAGCCAGTCCTATACTTTCTCAGGATCATGGCCATTCTGGTCCCAGGCATCCTGGCTGAGCCTAAACATAGAGGGGTGACCTTGCTATGACCTTTCTTAGTGTGAAGATCGCTCCATCCCCAGTGTGTTGGTGAGGACTCGGAACTGAGGCCAGCAATCAGCTCCGGGCTGGGAGGACAGTGGTGGAGCAGGAAGGGGCATATGGAGGAGACAGGCTGGCCCAAGGGAGGGAAGTAGGGGCCAGAGAGAAAGGGGGGCTGAAGGATTAAGGAGGCCTGACCCTGGGACAGGGGTGTGGTCCAGTGCAGGCAGAGGTCTGTGAAGGGCAGAGCAGGCCCACAGATTTTATCCAGGAGTGAGCATTGGGGGACCCCTGAGGAGCTGCTGAGCTGGTAGGTTCGTCTGAGCTTGTCCCTTGAGCTCACATGCCATGGGGGCAGGGAAGCCTCTGCTGTACAAGCCCCGAGCATACCAGCTTGTCCCTTTGGCTCCTACAAACAGCCCAGTTAACGAGTAGGAAGCTGGGCAAGAATAGCCTGGGCCATGGCTGCGTCCCATGGAGGAGCCCCTCCTCTCCTGTGGCATCATAAAAAGATGAGTGGACACAGGGTGGCCAGGCCTGACACACAGGCACCTGACCCATCCTGGCCTGGCAGCGTCGTTATTTCCTTACCTGCTTTTGGACTCCGTCTCTCCCCATGAAAACTGCCCTGTGCTCAACCCTGCATGATTCAATCCTGTCACTCCCCTGGAGGTCCCTGCCTGTGGGCAGCCTCTGTCTGTCCAGGTGTAGGCTTGGTCATGGATGAGTGGGGAGCCAGTTGCCTCCTGGTGGTGAGGCTGGGCATTTCCTTTCTGTCCCAGCAACCCCAAACCCCAAGTTCATGAACTGCAGGTGAGGAGAGGGGCCTGCCTCTGGCTTCCCAGGGGAGCCTTGAGTGCCCTTTCTTTCTTCTCAGTCTGATGGCATCCCCCCAGTGGCTGTCCTCTGCCTTGCTCACTGGGCTCTCACTCAATTCTAGGTGGTCTTCGGGAAGAAGCTTCCCGCCTTTGCCACTATCCCCATCCACCAGCTACAGCACGAGAAGAAGTATGACATCTATTTTGCTGATGGGAAAGTGTATGCCTTGTACAGGTGAGAAAGGAAGCCTCAATTCGGGCTTCTAGGGTCTGTGGCCAGCCTGCATCTTTGGGCTCTTTATGGCAGGCATGGGCACATCTCTGTCACCTCCTGTGCTCCCCAAAACCCTCAGCGGGGTGGGGGCACTTGGTGCAGCATGGATGTCAAGGGCCAGGTGGCTGGGTTCCTGTCCTCAGTTTCCTCTCTTGTAACACAACACCCCTCCTTGGGTGGATAGCAATGGGGGCGGGAGGTGCAATCAGGGAAAGTGCTCCTGGCATAGCACTCAGCGCCTGCTTTCTGGAGTCTTTCAAGGTGCACAAGAGCTCCTGCCAGTCAGGCTCTTGGCCCATGGCGGGAAAACCCACAAAGGGATATCGTCATGGGGTAGTCTTAGTCCTCCAGGTGAGGAGCAGCCCCTAGCTTGGCTAGAACCTGGGCTTCTGACCCCAGCCCCTGTATGGGCTTATCTTGTGCCCCTGACACAGGGGTTATTCTGGATCATAGATCTAATCACATCTTGAGGCCTTGCTTGACTTGGGCCCTGGCAGGGAGCAGTTTCTGGCCCCATGCCAAGCACCATTTAACTCAAAATCAGAGCCATGGAGGGCACGGGTGGGAGCGCCTGTTCTGACTCCTGCTCCAGGGCATCTGCAGAGGCATGGAGCAAGGGGCTGTACGGAGGTGCCAGTGCTTGCTCCAGATGGCAACACTAATTATTTGTTGGGGGCGGGGGCTCTTGGTGTCTCCTAGGCAGCTGCTGCAGCATGAGTGCCCAAGGTGCCCTGAGCTGCCACCTTTCAGCCTCTTCGGGGACCTGGAACAGCACATGAGGAAGCAGCATGAACTCTTTTGCTGCAAGCTGTGCCTCAAACACCTCAAGGTGCGCCCTACCCTCACAGACCCCTTCTGGGCTCTCGGACACAGGGAGAGCCCAGGCAGAGGTGGATGGTGGCCAGGCTCTAGAGGGGGTGGTATGGCAGGGTTTGCCAAACAGCTGTGAGAGGCTGGTTGCTGTCTCTGATTCTGGACAGGTCAGACCCTGGAGTCCCCAGCATCCTCCCAGTTCTCTTGCCTCACAGAGTGCTTCCTGTGAGCTCAGGCTGCACACAGCCCAGGCAGGGAGGGGCTCCCCATGACTATGCAGGCCCACCGGTTAACGGGTAGAGCTGGCACCTCTAATAGTGGGCCTGTGGGAGGGGCTGGGAGCCTGCACCCTGTACCCAGCCCATTCCTTGCAGATCTTTACATATGAGCGCAAGTGGTACTCGCGCAAGGACCTGGCGCGGCACCGCATGCAGGGAGACCCCGATGACACGTCGCACCGTGGGCACCCGCTCTGCAAGTTCTGCGATGAGCGCTACCTAGACAACGATGAGCTGCTGAAGCACCTGCGTCGAGACCACTACTTCTGCCACTTCTGTGACTCGGATGGAGCCCAAGACTACTACAGGTGGGAGCGGGACAGCGTGGGGCGGTCCCTAGGACACCCGGAGCAAGCTGGGCAGAGGCCACTGGTTGGGTGGTGGGCTGACAGGGCTCCTGCTGACACTCTGTCAGCGACTATGCTTATCTGCGTGAGCACTTCCGGGAGAAGCACTTCCTGTGTGAGGAGGGCCGCTGCAGTACTGAGCAGTTCACCCATGCGTTCCGCACCGAGATCGACCTCAAGGCCCACAAGACAGCCTGCCACAGCCGCAGCCGCGCCGAGGCCCGCCAGAACCGCCAGATAGACCTGCAGTTCAGCTACACGCCGCGGCATTCTCGCCGCAACGAAGGTGAGCAGGGCCTCCCCTCTGCCAAGCAGGGCTCCCAAGGGCTCCAGCCTGGTGTTCCCAAGGCAGGGTTTACATTTTCCTTCTCGAGGCCTCAGACCCAGGCCAGATTCAACCTTTCATGTGTCAGTGGGGACAAGGGGCTCCTGTTGAGCTTGCTTCTTTGAGCACACTATGACTGCAGGGAGCTCTTTTCCTGGCCATTTCCCCAGCATCTTGGGTCTGCTATCCTGGGTCCCTGGGACTCTCCCCAGGTTGAAAGATTGTTGAGCACCTGCTGTGTGTGGGTCCTGTCCTGAGGCTGTGCAGCTGGCAGGCACGGACCCTTCTGCAAGCCCACTTCTTGCTCTGACATGGTACCCAGGCCATAAAAGCCTGGGGCTGATGTGGGACCCTTGAGGTGTCTGAGCTTGTCCCTTTAGCTCACATGCTGTGGGGGCAGGGAAGCCTCTGCTGTACAGCCCAGAGCGCTAGCATCAGCCTGGCCTGGGCCCGTGACAAGCTGTGTGCTGGCCATAGGAACCGTCAGTGGCGAGGACTATGAGGAGGTGGACAGGTACAACCGCCAGGGCCGAGCAGGCCGGGCCAGTGGCCGTGGAGCCCAGCAGAGCCGCCGAGGAAGCTGGAGGTACAAGAGGTGGGAGGATTTGCATGCTGCCGACATTCTTCTGGCACTACTGCTGCGATGGCAGAGGCCCACAGCTGGGCTAGGAACAGGCACAAGAGTCAGAGGACTCTGGCCTTCTGGCACTTGGTGTCCTGGACATGGTAATAGGATCTGCTCATTGTCTTTAGCCAGACACCAGGACCTGCAGGTTGGGTGGGTGAGAGGTGCCTGTGTCACTTGGAGGTTCACTGCAGCTGTGCTGTGTAACACCAGTGCCGCAGGCACATGCTCAGGTGGGAGGCTGCCCTGGATGCCCTGCAGGATCCAGGCCTCTGGAGACCCCAAATGCTATCTCAGAGCACTGAGCCCAGGTTCTGCCTGTAGCCACAGCCTAAGGCTGATGGAAAAACTGCTGCTCCACAGCTCCCTCTTGTGGCCAGGGAGGGTGGACTTGCACTGACTACTGGCCTTAGGCCTACATCCCTGGCACCTCCTGGTGACCAGGCTTCCTAAGGACAAGGTCCCTCCCGAGCCCCTTGCCCTGCACATCCCTGTAGTCCAGGGCCTTGCCCAGTCTGAAGGCCTCCCCGTCTCAGGGAAGAAGAGGACCGAGAAGTGGCAGCTGCCATCCGGGCCTCGGTGGCCACGCAGCAGCAGCAGGAGATACACAGGAGCAAGGACCGGGAGGAGGGCAGCAGGCTCAAGAAGGAGGAGGCAGGGAAGTGGGGAGCCGAAGAGCCCCGAGGGCCTCGGCGCCTGCTACGGACTCAGGGTGCGAGCCCAGGTGAGCTGGCCCTGCCTGCGGGCAGCTCTGCCTGTGCCTGAGAGCCACCTGGGAAGCTCCTTGGTCACCCCAGAGGGTCTGCTCTTGCCCCCTCAATCTAGGTCAGCCCTGACATAGGGTCCTTTGGTGTCTTGTAGGCCCCAAGGAAGCCTCGACAAATGGTCCCGTAAGCCAAGAGGCCTTCGCAGCCAACAGCTCAGCAGCGGGGGCCACACAGCTGAGGTACACATGTCCATGAGCTGGGGCAATAGGGTGGATCTCATGGAGGGTGGGTACGGGGCAGTCCAGGGCCTGGCAGGCCGCTGACCTCTCTCCCCTTCCTGGGCTCAGCACCCTTCCGCCCTCCACTTCGAAGCTCAAGGATGAAGATTTCCCCAGTCTCTGCACCTCTTCTTCCTCCTGCTCCACGGCAACAGCCCTGGGCCCGGTGGGACTGCCACTGGTGTACCCTGTTCCTACCAGGGGCAGGAGCACCTTCCAGGAGGATGACTTCCCTGCCCTGGTGTCCTCCACCTCCAAACCCAGCACAGCCCCCACCAGCCTCATCTCTGCCTGGAATAGCAGTGGCAGCAAGAAGGTGGTGCAAACAGCCCCAGGGGCCCAGGCTGCTGGTGGGGGCAGTCAGCCCCCCAGAAAGGCTGGGAAGGGGGGTAAGGGCAACAAAAAGGGTGGGCCGCCCCCCCCAGAGGAGGAGGAAGAGGAGGATAGCCGCACTGGCCTCACCACCCAGGAGCTGCGAAGCGTGCCCACCACAGTTGCCGTGTCCTCCCTGCTAGCACGGGCCTCCACCCAGACCTTCACCAAAGTTGGCAAGAAGAAGAAGGTGGGCTCTGAGAAGCTGGGTGCCACATCACCCCCGTCACTGCCCTCTGAAAAAGATGGGCCCCCTGGGGCTGAGCAAGCCCCCCCGGTCCCCATGGGCAGAGCTGAGGGGCCTGTCGCTGTCGTCGTCAATGGACACACAGAGGGGCCAGCCCCCGCTTGGAGTGTCACCAAGGAACCCCCGGGGCTCCCACGGCCCCTGGGGCCCCTCCCCTGCCCCACGCCCCAGGAAGACTTTCCAGCGCTTGGCGGTCCCTGCCTGCCTAGGAAGCCCCCTCCCCCCGGTAGGTGCACCTGGCTCAGCCCTGCTTCTGAACATCTGGGAAGGGATTGGGGTAGTAGAATTAGACTGGAGTTCCCTGCCCACGCCCCCCCCTCCGCAGTCGGAGGTTCCCCCCAGTTCGAGGTTATATTGTACAGCTAGGCACAGGGGAGAGGTAGGCCTGGGCAGAGGTTTTCAGCCGGCTCAGAAACAGTGTAACTCTGCATGCAGGTGCTCCGTCTGTGATGAGCATGATCTTGGACCACCACTTAACCAGTCTGAGTCCCTTTTTCCATGTAAAATTGAGCAATCCTAGCACCCTCTCAAGATAGGGGCAAATGAGCTAACTTAGGCCAGCATTTGCTACAAGGCAGCGTAGTATGTGTGCTGGCTCTGGGTATCATTAGGCTCTGAGCCTGCTCTTCAGGCTCTGAGGATGGGAGCCTGGCCTGGGTGAGCTGGGCAGCCTGTGGGATGTGAGGAACAAGGCCTGGCAGTTTCTGGCCAGTGAGAGTCACTCATTACCTGGGTCTTGGTGTGCACCCCCGCAGGCTTCAGCACTGTGGTGCTCCCGAAGAGCACTCCACCCCCACCTCCACCAGGTCTGGTGCCCCAAATCAGCAAGCCACCCCCTGGCTTCTCTGGCCTGCCCAGCCCCCACCCAGCCTGCATGCCCAGCACTTCTACCACCACCACCACCACTACCACCACCACAAAAGCGTAAGTGTGGCAGGCTGCCTGGCCTTCTGCCCTTAGGGGTCAGGGGAGAGTGCCCTCACTTTGAGCAACCCCAAAGACTGAAGCCTCCCATCTCCTGACCCCCAGACCCAGGCTGACACCAGCACCCCAGGCCTACCTTGTCCCCGAGAACTTCCGGGAGAGGAACCTACAGCTCATCCAGTCCATCAAGGACTTTCTGCAGAGTGATGAAGCCCGCTTTAGCGAGTTCAAAAGTCACTCAGGAGAATTTAGAAAGGTCAGGCTGGTGGAGGGAGGCAGCGGGGGGTGGGAGTACAGCCTGCCACCTGGGGTCTGGGCCAGGGGTGACTGGTCTGGCTCTCGGTGGCAGGGCGTGATCTCCGCAGCCCAGTATTATAAGAGCTGCCGGGACCTGCTTGGGGAGAACTTCAAGAAGATCTTCAATGAGCTGCTGGTGCTCCTGCCCGACACAGCCAAACAGCAGGAGCTGCTGTCTGCACACACGGACTTTCGAGGCCAGGAGAGACTGCCTGGCACCAAGGCCAAGAAGAATAAGAAGAATGCATGGCAAGCCAGCACCCAGCAGGCAGACCTGGACTGCTGTGTGTGCCCCACCTGCCAGCAGGTACTCGCAAATGGTGACTTCCGAAGCCACCAGGCTCTGCACACTGCCCAGGATGATGACTTCCCCTCCCTGCAGGCTGTTGCCAGGACCCTCACATAGCTTCCGCTATGTGGGCAGAAGTGGCCATGACCATGAGCCTCCGATGTCCCTGCTCTTCCTCCTGGCTGACAGATAGCCAGGAAAGGCCCTGTTGAGGCCACTTGCTCAGGCCTTAGGTTGGCCGGCCCACTTCGTATCAGCACAGTTAGGCAGGTTTCCTGCTGGGAACTGGGCAGATACCCCTGCCTCAGTGGTGGGCCAATCTTGGTTTGTATCTCGATTTTGGAAGGTGCTAGGGAAAGAAAGGGCCGGGATGCCGGGGCTTGCCATGTTGTCAGAGGCTGTGGCCACAGTGGCCCGATCGAGGACCTTCTGAGCCTGAGGGCCGCAGCACCTTGGCCCCCAAGCCTGAAGCTGTGGGCCCCCTGGTGCAGGAGTAAGATACTGAGTGTGTTGTGTAAACAGTTGGCTGTTTCATGATTCAAGAGTGTTCAGGATTAAAAGCAGACACGAAATTGTGCTACTTGAAGTTAAATCTTTCTACAAGAAGCTGAATCTGGGATCTCAAATTGCTTCTGATTTTTATAAAACAGTTTTATCTTTAAATAAATTTATTTTGCAATAATGGACATAGCTGGCATTCTGAGCTTCTCTGCCTTCTGAGGTCACTCAGTAGTGAGGGGAACTCTGAGTCTGTGTTACAGGTGGTCGGCCAATAGAAGGTCTGTGGGGAGAGTGGGCAGCTGGGCTTTCCTTACAGGAAGCAGAAGCCAACCAAGAGACGGCAGTCCTGGAAGCTTAGTGCTGCCCAAGCCTTCCAGGAATAGACAGCCACTGCTTGACAACTACACTTCACACCTAGTAAACCTATACTTCCAGAGAGGCATACAGACAAGGTTTACATGCAAAGATGCGGGGGGGGGGGGGGGGGGGGCGGGCAGTGTTTGACAGACCGGGTGAAAGAGCTACTAAAGGTGAACTTTAAGAACAATTTAGAAACGGGGAGGGGCACAACAAATTCTGTGAGTAATTTGTGAAATTTGGATTTCACATACTGAAAGCTCCCTTTTCTGTCCCAAACACATAGGAAAAAGTTCTAAACATGGCTGCATGACCACTGCCTGCCTGAAGCTGAGGATGGGATGGTACTGCTTGTCCGCCCAGGGCTGGGACGGGCAATGTTTCTAGGTGATGGCCATGCATCAGAGGCCACCACTTCCCACCACACACAAGTCTCTCATAGTGCCCTCGTTGCAGACCTGAGTACAACCAACCTCACAGAAGAGCGATGTGGAAATTGGAATATGTTAACAATATTGAAAATACCTACTTATTTACTAGTAAAATACATTTTTATTAATTTCAGAGAGGTGAGAGAGAGATGAGAGAAACATCAACGATGGGAGAGAATCATTGATTGGCCGCCTCCTGCAAGCTCCCTACTGAGGATTGAGCTTGCAACCTGGGCATGTGCCCTTGACTGGAATCGAACCCAGGACCCTTCGGTCTGCAGGCTAACGCTCTATCCGTTGAGCCAAACCAGCTAGGGCAAAAATACCTATTCTTAAGTAAAACCCATAATGATACTAAGTGACATGTTAATTCCGGCCGTGTGAAAAGCACTACTTTGGGCTCTTTACAGTATTAACATGTACTCTGAGTGGCCAGATTATTAGGACCACCTGACGTTTGTAGGCACATTAGCCGTACACTGCATCGTATGGGATATGGAAGCTGAAAGCCTGTTCGAACACCTTTGCTGTCTGCAGTTACCAAGATAAAACATCTCCAATTCACACAGGAACACAAGGATTGGACAGTCGAGCATTGGGAAAAAAGTCATGTGGTCCGATGAATCACGTTTCCAGTTGCATCATGCAGATGGCAGAGTGAGAATTTTGCAGAAACAGCATGAAAGCATGTATCCCATATGCATGAGTACAACCCTTCAAGCTGGTGGGGGCAGTGTTATGGTTTGGTGCATGTTTTCTTGGCATGATTTGGGCCCTTTAATTCGTATGGAACAATGTCTGGATAGCACAACATAACTAAGTATCGTTGCTGATCAAGTTCATCCTATCACGTTGATGGCGTATCCCAATAGAGATGTCTTCTTCCAACAAGACAATGTGCTCTTATTGTGCAGGAGTGGTTTCAAGAACATGAGGGAGACTTTACCTTGCTTAGGTGGCCCCCACAATCACCAGATCTCAATCCAATTGAGCATTTGTGGGACGAAGTTAAAAACTATCAGGCAGCCGAAACCGGTTTGGCTCAGTGGATAGAGCATCGGCCTGCAGACTGAAGGGTCCCAGGTTCGATTCTGGTCAAGGGCATGTACCTTGGTTGAGGGCATATCTGCCGTAGTGGGTGTGCGAGAGGCAGAGGATCAGATGTCTCTCATCGATGTTTCTAACTCTCTATCCCTCTCTCTTCCTCTCTGTAAAAAAAATCAATAAAATATATTTTAAAAAAAACAAAAAACTATCAGGCAGCTGGTTCCACAACCATCAAATCTCACAGAACTGGACAGTGCTATTCATCAGGCATGGTGTCAGATTCCTCGCATCACCTTTCAACATCTCGTGGAGTCAATGCCAAGAAGAATGGTTGCAGCATTGAAGGCAAAAGGTGGCCCAACAAAGAACTGATGGGGGTGGTCATAATAATCTGGCCACTCAGTGTATTTACACATGTTATCATCCCACTCTATGTTATTACCCTTTTACAGAGGAGAATCCAAGGCACAGACAAAATAGGAGACTAGTCCAAGATGACCAAGCTTGAATGTGGCAAAGCCAGCGTTCCAGCTCCAAAGATGGATCTTAACTGCTTCACTTAACCAGGAGGTTACTAATCAATAAGAAATCTTAGAAATGAAAAACTGACATAAAAAGAGGTTCAAAAGTGAACAAGACTGCCTAACTAGTGTGGCTTGGTGGTTGAGCAACAACCTATGGACCAGGAGGTCATGATTCAATTCCCAGTCAGGGCATAAGCCCAGGCTGTAGGCTTGATCCCCAGTAGGGGATGTGCAGGAAGCAGCAGATCAATGATTCTCTCTAACTATGGTGTTTCTATCTCCCTTTCCCTTCCTCTCTGAAATTAATTATATATATATATATATATATATATATATATATATATATAATTTTTTTTTTTTTAGAGTAAATAAGACAAAGCTGGGGAAACCTCCAAAGGACAATTGGCCATGCAATGTGGCTCTGGAAGCTGCATGATACACCTGATGGGTCCCAGAGGCAGAAGGTGGTGAGAAGGGGCCATTGGAGAGTCATGACTTTTTTCCCATGCATTGAAGAAATATAAAAATACAGTCAAGCACTAAGGATAATGTTTTCAAGCCACGTCTTAAAAAAATGTTTAAAGGCACAATTTAGAAAAGAATTTACTAAAGTAACACATAACCTACAAAGGAATGCAAATTGTACTGTTATCACTGCTCTCAGTAGCATAAGATCCTAAAAATTACTAGAGAAATACCTTTACAGTTCTAAGGAAAATGACAACATTTATATAAAACTATCAAGAACGTGGGGCTGGCTGGTATGGCCCAATGGTTGAGCGTTGACCCAAGCACCAAGAGGTCCCCAGTTCGATTCCTGGTCAGGACACATGCCTGAGTTTTGGGCTTGGTCCTCGGAAGGGGGTGTGCAGGAAGCAGACAATGGATGTTTTTCTCATCTATGTTTCTATCACTCTCCCTCTTTCTCTAAAAACAATAAAAACATAAAACATGAAAGATTCAAAGTTGGCATCCATCCACTGATGAAAGATATTCTAAAGATATACTACTATAAGAAATATTTAAAAAAAATATTTAGTATACTGCTAGTATCATCATCTAACCTAATAATAGAGTAATATGCAAATTAGCCATCACTCTGCTACACAAGCCATGCCCACAAGCCTATCAGAGTGAATATGCAAATTAACCCAGCAAAGATTATGGTTAATTTGCATACACGGAGGGAGGGAGGAGTGAAGACTGAAGGCAGCATAGAAGGAAGAGGGAGGGAAAGTGGAAAGTAAGGCAGCAGCAGCTGCTGGAGGGAAAGCACTGTCAGTGTGTGCAGGGTGGCACGCGTGGCTGCGGAGGCGGCAGCAGCATTGGTCAGCAGGGGCTGTGAGTCAGGAGGGCGGGGTGGGGTGTGCAGCAGCGGTGCAGCCCCAGAGGAGGCAGGAGCAGCAGCGGGTTGGGCATGCGGGGTAAGGCGTGCAGTGTTACAGCGGGAGAGATGGGGGGGGGGAGAGGTGGCGATAGCAGGAGGGAAGCCTGCTGGAAGTCTTGCAGGAATATTCCTGCAACAGGTGCCTATATATAATAAAAGGCTGTCTGGTCCCTGTGCCCCATGCAGCCTCACAGCCCACAGTGCCTTTCAAGGTACACAAATTCATACTCTGGCCCCTAGTCTATATATATAAAAGCCTAAGCGGCTGAACCACTGAAAAAACAAACAATTGGTAGACTGGTTGCTATGATGCGCAATGACAACCAGGGGGCAGATGCTCAATGCAGAAGCTACTCCTGGTGGTCAGTGAGCTCTCACAGCCAACCTCCCGCTGCTGGCCACCTCCCATGGTCCCTACCCCCCACCAGCCAGCAACTTCCCATAGTCCTTACCCACAGCTGGCCAACCTCACGAGGTCTTTCCCTCAGGCTGGCCAACCTCTTGCAGTCCCTCCCCTGGCCAGCCCCCCAGATAGCCCCATGAGGGTGGGGGTGGGCAGCCACCCAACCTCCCCCAGTCCTCCACCCCAAACTGGTCAACCTCTCATGGTCCCTCCCCCTGATTGACTCCAATGGAGGAGAAGGCCTGGTGGGCCAACCTCTCATGGCCCCTTCCCCAGCCAGCCGGCCCCCACAATAGGCCCTGATCACCAGCCAAACCATGGGATCCCATCCATGCACGAATTCATGCACTGGGCCTCTAGAAAGAGATAAGAGAGATTGGTATTTCAGAGAGCCAGCTCTGAGCAATCCAGTTCTAGACCAGTGAGATGTGTGGTAAAGGCTGATGGACCTGGAACCCCCAGATTCTGGAGATCAGCCTGGCTTCCACCTCCCTACCTCTTCCTAGATTCTGGGCCCTGGTGCCCTTCAGAGCTCAGCCTCTGCTACCAGGAGGGGCAGGGACAGGAATGAGCCCAAGAGTGTCTATGGCACAGTAAACTCCTTTAGTTTTTATTGTAAAGAAGTTGCAGTTGGAACATGGGACACTGAAAATACACAATCACGGATTGTTCTTTCAGAGGAGGGAGGGAGAGATCCATATATACAAAAAATTGTAAACATGTTCACTTAAATATCCACACATAATTGATCTATGCTACAATGTACAGGGCTGTCATTCAACTGCAACTCCAGAGGCATCTGTCTGTAAGAATGAAATGTGGCAACCACATCTGGCATAATGTGAAAAGCCGAGCAATGCATGAGTAGTCAGCTATGCAGAGGGACCCCACCCTTAAACTGGGCCTTAAAATGGGGTGCAGGGCAGGGAGTGGAAGGACTGGTTCAGGAAACCAAGGGAAAGGGGTTCGCATGGAATGGCTGTCTCCCGGGCACCATGGAGCCTCTGTCCTCTAAAGAGGCTTGTGTTGCCAGGCACACAGGTGTCCCTAGCCGCCCTGACTGAAGGGCTGGGAGGGGGTTGGTGCCCAGCCTAGAGCCATCTTGTGCCTTCCCTGGCCAGAATCACCCACACCCGGGCAGAGGCCTGAGCCAAGGTGTGGAGGGGCTGGGTTGAGCAGCAGGGACCGCAGAGAGGGGCCGCTTCTGGGAAACTATCAGTTGAAACTTGAAAACTTGACCACGATCACAACATGGAGAGGACCAGGCTACGCTCGTGAGCAGGTGAGAGGAGATGGAAGGAGGCTCCAGACAGAGCACATGGCCCCACAGGGTGAACCAACATGACAGGAACAAGGACTGTCACTACCCACGGGGACACGGGACGGGGAGCAGTGTCCATGCTCCCCGGGTCATGGCATGGGGGTGGGGGCAGTACTCCTGCCCCCAGTCTGGGACAGGCTCTGCACCTGGCCATGGAGGGCAGCCGGCTCCCTGATGCCAGAGTGGACCGGTGAGCCCTGGGCTGGCTGCCTCATGAGGGGAGCGGCCCCCTGCCCAGGCTGACCCACTGGAGGCTGGAGATTGAAGGTACCGGAGGAACTTGAGGCTACAGCCCAGGCACCCTGGGGGCTACCCTCTCTTGGCCCCAGACAGCCCACAGTGGCCACCCCTCCATCCCCGGAGTTGGGCCAGGAGGACCTGAGGGAGGTCCCAGGAGGCCTTGGGCCTTGCATCGGCGGGGCAGCCTTCCAGCCCTGGACCGGGCTTGCCAGCCACTAGTAGGCGGGCACCTGGTACCCTTTGGGGCTGGTGTCCAGGGTCTCGGTGAAGGGCGGGCTCTGGTAGGTCTCGGTGCCCTCCACACCGCTGCCCACTGGGTAGCCGGGGTAGTCCTGGCCCGCCCCGGTGCCCAGCTGTTCTGTGGCAAAGAGCGACATGTCCGTGCCCAGGCGGAACCGCTGCAGGGCCTTCACGGTGAGCGCCACCTGAGGAGGAGCCCGAAGTCAGCTGGGGCGGGGCGGACACCGGCCTGACACCGGCCTGGCCCCGGTCTGCCTGGCCGGCCGGACCCTCCCCGCCCGCCCGCCCGCCTGGCACTCACCCAGCTGAGGATGGAGAAGAAGCTGAAGGCGATGGCGGCCCGCGCCGCGTCTCCCGCCTGCGCGGCGGCCGGCCCGGGCGGCGTGCGCTGCCACTGGTTGGTGAGGAAGCAGAAGCCCACGAACCACAGGAAGGACCAGAGCCCTGCGGGCGGCAGGAGGCGGGAGGGTTAGGGGAGCTGCTCTGAGGGACCCCATCGAACCGCTCCGGGAGCGGGCGTCAGGACGCACGGGAGCCCCGCCGGTCCTGCTTCTTTCCCACCCGCCCCGCCCCTTCCGGAGGCCCCGCCCACAGCCCTCCGGAGACCCGCCCCGCCCCGCCCCTTCCGGAGGCCCCGCCCTCGGAGGCCCGCCCCGCCCGCAGCCCCCGGGCGGCCGGCACGCCCACCTGAGAAGCCCAGGTCCAGCAGCACGGCGCGGCGCCGGTCCCGCACGCTGCTGATCTGCTGGAAGCGCAGGTCGAGCAGCAGGAAGGCGGCGCAGGCCAGGAAGGCGCCCAGGCCCAGCGTGACGCCGAAGCGGCAGGCGCCTGCGTTCCCGTTGAAGACGCAGCGCAGCTCGGGGCCCTCGTCGGAGTTCACGTAGCCCTCGTTGACGATGGGCCCGAAGACGGCGATGGAGAACACCTGCGGGGCGGAGGTGCTCAGGCCTGGGGCGGGGCGAGGGGAGCCCGAGCGGCCACGCCCTGGGGTCCGTCCCGGCGTTCCCTGGCGGCACCGGGTGCGTCTCCGGGTGCAAGTCTTCTACTCTTCCCTTCGGATCGCCCCAGGTAGTCAGTGATCATGGACCACAGGTACCGTTTAGCCAGCATCTCTCCGATGCTTAAAACGGCAGCTCTGTGTGTGTTCGCTCACAGAATCCTCCCAGGAAACCACGAAGGTGCCCTTCACTGTTCTTACGCCCTTTACAGACGAGGAAATTGGGGCTCCCCCAGGTGAAGTGGTTTGTCTGAGGCCGCGTTGCTGGTAAGAGCAGAGGCTGATATTCAGCTGGTCCTCTGCTCTGCGTGGGGGGCGTAGTGTGTCCTCACCCTCAGGCCCACTCCGGAGTGTGGTAACGGGAGCCTCCAGAGTGTGTGATTCCAGGCTTGAGCCGGTGGTGCTGGGGGAGGTAGGTGTGGAGGAGCCAGGAGAGAGAGGCCGGGGTGTAGAGGGCACAACAGAGGGACAGCTGGAAAGCATGGAACCTGCCTGCCCTCGGCATTCAGAAGCTGTGCGGCCCTGTTTCTTAGCATATAGCACATGTAATGAACAGGCCCAGCTAATGGGGTGTTGGGGATAGAGAAATAATGTCCATTTGGGTGGGCACTCAAGTGATGATGACCCCACATGGCTATACGTGTTTGGGCTCAAAAGACGAGAGGATTGACCTCTGGGGTTCAGTCCAACATCAGCACCCTGTCCCCCCCTTCCCCCCACGTGGGCTGGGAGGCCGGTAGGAGGTAGAACACAGTCATTTTATTTTAAAATCCTAGACCATAATCATTTTAAGCCAGATGCTGCTCTTTTAGCTCTGAGCAAGACTGTTTCAAAAAAAAAAAAGATCTCCAGTTTCAATTTCATTTCTCTCCTTTCCCAGCCTAGTTCCTAGAGATATAGTCAGGAGGGAAACTGAGGTGCAGGATTTAGACCCACCCCCGGAGTGGTACACAAGTCGAACCAGAGCTGGAACCTGAAGGTAGGGTTCCTATGTCCTGGTCTGGCCAGAGTCAGTCCCCCCGGAAGGTGGCAACCCCCTGCCCTACACCGGGCACTGCCCTCCTCAAGACCAGCAAGTAGGTGTAGCTACCCGCCGCCACTGGCTGGACAGAACCCAGACCTCGGCCCCTCCCCTCCATCTCTCCTACCTGGAGAAGGAGGAGGAGGAGCAGGCCACCAAGCAAGCCTAGGGACGCCCTGACAAGCTGGACTGCCCCTCCCTCACCACCACCCGTCGACCATCCCGAAGTACAGCCCCCTCTGGCTGCCCCACCCAGATGATCCCTGATCAACCTCCCTCCCCCCCCCCCCAACTCACAGTGGCAACTGGCGGGCCTGGGGAGGGCCAGCTCCCTTCAAAGGGGCCTGGAGGATGTGAGTGCAGAAGCAGGGGAGGCTGTGCCAGATTCTCTCAGCTCCCACAGCCCCCTCCTGGGGCTGAGGCTGAATCCCGTCCCCACCCCTGCGCCTGCTTCTAGGTCATGAGACAGGAAAAACGGAGCGAGGGCTTAGGAAGCGGACTGTGTGACCTCAGGGGGAATTGGGGATGGGGGCAGCGGGAAGTGACCTCTCAAGGTCCCAGGCTGTCGTCGCCAGCCCCTCCCCCGCCCCAGGTGGGCGCGCCCGACACGGTGATGTCACCCCAACCTGCGGCCCGCGAGGGAGGGGGCGGCGAGGAAGAGGATGGGGGCGAGGGCCCGGGTGGGACCAGGGACCAGGACGGTGGCCACTTACCCAGGACACGACCCGCAGCAGGGTCTGGGGCCGCTTCGCGAAGCTCACGGGGTCCAGGGCGGCCCCCGCACGGCCCGCGCCAAACGAAGCTCCTTCCATGGCTGGCCCCCGCGGGCCGCGCACCCCGGGGCCCCTCTACCAGCCTGTCCGGCCGGGGCCCTGCCCAGGATCACCCGCCCTGGGCTGCTGCGATCGCCGCCGCTCAAGCTGCCGCCGCCGCCTCTGCCGCCTCCCTCCCTCCGGGAGCGCGCACTGGCCGCGGCGGGCACGCGCGGGGCGGGGCCGAGCCCGCACCCCCTCCCTGGTCCACGCACCAGGCTGGAGCCCTCTGGTCCCTCCCGTCCGCTGTCCCTCCACCCCCACCCCTCAGCTTCACAACCCGGGTCCAAGATGGACTCACCAGATCACCATCGGGGGCAGGGCAAGGAGCTGGGCCTGCACCGCCCTCACAAAGGCTCCGCCTTTGCTGTTGCCTGGCAGATGGACAGAGGGGGCCTGACCCCGTGCCTCTCCTTGAAGCAGGGCCCTCTCATAAATGTGTAACTGAGGCCAGATGGCTCTAGTGTCTTTCCCTTTAGGAACAGGGCTCCCTGGTCTTGGTCTCCTGCAAACCAAAGATTGATCACTGGGTCCTTTACCCCCCATGCCTCTCCCCCCGCCCCCCACATACACTGCACCCTAGCTTCTCCTTCAGAGGGTCCTAGCCACCTGATATAGAGAGAGAATGGTCTCTGCTACCAGGGACACCTGTCCAGGTGGGCAAAGCCCACAGGAGTTGGGGTCCTGACCAGTTGGGCTCAGTGGATAGAGCATCCTGTGCACTGAAGGGTTCCAAGTTCGATTCCGGTCAAGGGCATGTACCTTGGTTGCAGGCACATCCCAAGTAGGGGGTGTGCAGGAGGCAGCGGATTGGATATTTCTCTCTCATTGATGTTTCTAACCCTCTATCCCTCTCTCTTCCTCTCTGTAAAAAAGTCAATAAAGTATATTTAAAAACAAGAAAAAACAGCCGAAACCGGTTTGGCTCAGTGGTAGAGCATCGGTCTGTGGACTGAAAGGTCCCAGGTTCGATTCTGGTCAAGGGCATGTACATAGGTTTTGGGCACATCCCCCGTAGGGGGTGTGCAAGAGGCAGCTGGTCCATGTTTTTCTCTCATCGACATTTCTAGCTCTCTATTTCTCTCCCTTTCTCTCTGTAAAAAATCAATAAAATATATATTTTTAAAAAGATTTTTAAAAACAATTGCAGCCCAAACTGGTTTGGCTCAGTGGATAGAGCATTGGTCTGCGGACTCAAGGGTTCCATGTTTGATTCCAGTCAAGGGCATGTACATTAGTTACGGGTACATCCCTGGTGGGGGGTGTGCAAGAGGCAGCTGGTCAGTGTTTCTAGCTCTCTATCCCTCTCCTTTCCTCTCTGTAAAAAATCAATAAAATGTATTAAAAAGAAAACAACAATTGCAGTTTATTTTTAAAAAATAGTAAGTGGGAGTTGGGGTATCTCTGCTCCTTTCCTATGGGTGCCCAGGTGTCATTCCAAAGTTATTTTGAGCCTTCCACACTCCTGAGTTTCCTGGACTGACAATTTAGTTTGGAGCCAAGGAGTAGGGAGAAACAAAGAGAAGGGAGTCTGGCCCAGTACCACTGCTGGGTCTTTTCCATAGCCCCCCAGGCTCCCAGTTAATGCCCCTTTTTTCAGGTTCCTTCCAGCCCAGCCCAGCCCAGCCCAGCAGGAGCCCGGATGACTCCTATGTTTCTGTCTAGGGCAGTGGTCGCCAACTGGTGGTCCGGGAAGTCTGACCGCTGATTTAGGGCAATGTAAGACAAGTTTGCATTTGTTGAGCACTTACAGTGTCAAGTACTTCACCATGGCCTGTGGGGAAGGAACTGTCATCACCCCCATTTCTCAGGTGGTTAATAGGCAGACTGGCCGAGTTCTGGATCATATAAAGGGAAGAACTGGGACTCGAATCCAGGTCTCTGTCATGGCATCTAAGTGGACAGAGGGTGGTGCCTGGCCCAGCCTCCTGGGAAACCCATGCCAGGGCAGGTGTGGCCAGAAGTACTGCCCACCAGTCTCCGTCAAGTGCATTCAACTGCACCCAGTGCCACTTCTCACCTGACAGCAACTGTCTTGGTCTCTTACTTCATCCACTTGCCCCTTAATCATTTTTATCAACACCCAAACATGCTGTACTTTCTTCTATATTAAAAAAACTTCAACTCTTGACCCCATTGCCCCTCCAGCTGTCACTGCTCCCTTTACAGGGCCAATTCAGACACTGAGGTCCCCACCCCCCTAGCAAGGCTTCTAATGAATGTGATCTCCTCGTTCCTCTTACTTTTCAGGCCCTTCCTTGTCACCCTTTCAGGTTTCCTCCTCTTGTCCAACCTGTGATCCTTGGAGGCGCCAGAGCTTATCACGGCTCCTCTCTATGCCACTGGACTGTGCCGACAGCTCCAGCCAGAATCTTCCCTGGGACTAGAGTCCCACTTGTCTTCCTTCACCTGGTTGCCAAGGAAAAGTCTGTGGCAAAGTTTGAGTTTTATTAGGGGGTGAAACTTCAGGGAAGTGAATTAGGGAAAAAGGGAAATGAAGTGAGAGCAAATACAGGTGGTATGTTCTTGAACTGACCACAATAGCTCACAGGCTACTCAGGAAAGACCAGAGATGTGCTGAGGACAGTCCATCAAAGGGAGGAAGAGCAACTTCTCTGCTGACTAGTCCCCGCCCATTTCTTCGTGTCACTTGGGTAGCATGTTGTGGAAGCCAGCAGCCCTGGGAGAACAGGTCAGTGAAAGTGGTGAGAAGCTAAAGCACAGGGGACAGAGAAGATCAGAGCTTTAGGACTACAGGGATGGGACACACTATTGCTGTGACATTCTTGCTGGGAGCCAAGGCTTGGGAGCAGGTATGGTTGAGCAGATCACAAAGGCTCAAAAGCTGGGTCCAGGTCACCCCAACCCGCTCCCCTCACAGCCTTCATCTCAGATACAAAGGGCAACTCCTTCCTCCAGCTTCTTGTGCCAGAACCCCAGTCACCTTTGGCTTTTCCTCTCCTGTACCTTCAGAATATATCCGGCACCCTCTCCCATCCACCCTGCGCAAGCTTCCCCTTCAGCTGAGACATGGGTGCCGCTCTCCCTGCTTCCACCCATGCCTGCTGCATCCCAGCTCAGAGGAAACTTTCAAAAGTCCCAACTCACTATTTCTCAGCTCCAAATCCTCCAAGACCTACCTGTCACAGAAGCTGGGAGTTAAAACCATGTCTTGAGGACTTCATGCTGACTCCCCTTCACCTCTTTAACACCTCCCCTCCTCACCTCCCCAGCTCTAGGAATCCAGCCTCCTCGCTGTTCCTGGAATATCCTGGCCCAACTCTTCTCTTGGGACCTCTCTTTCTAAGGAGCCAGAACCTGGACAGGAGGAAGCAGCTGACCAGAGGAGGGCAGGCCTGTCCATCACTGGAAGTCCAGCAAACACACTGAAGGCAGGTTCTCAAGTCACTTCTTCAGCATTTTATTTTAGTCTCGAGTTCCGAGGGAGCTGACCCACGAAGCCTCTGAGGAGCCCGGCACTGCTATGGAAGGCCACGTGCTGAACAGAAAGGAGCTGCGGTGTCGGTGACCCTCAGAGAGGAGCCATGCCTGCACTTGCCCTCCCTGTAGGGGCTGAGCAGGGTGGGAAGCTCAGCCTCGGGCCTCTCTCCTGAAGGGCAAAGAGCACACAGCCTCAGAGGCCACCTACAGTCACTGCCGTTGTGTCTAGCCACAGCGGGGAGACAATGACCTGGTTTCAAGGATTTTGTGAGACGGAGCCCAGCCAAGCCTATCTCCTTCCTGTGTGGGGAAGTGGACACCAGGGTGTGAGATGGGCAGGTGGCCACATCCTGGAGAAAAGCAACAGCCTAGCCTGGCCTTGTCACTCAGTCATTGAACATCAACCATGAACTAAGAGGTCACCATTTGATTCCTGGCCAGGGCACATGCCTGGCTGCAGGCTCAATCCCCAGTAGGGGGCGTGCAGGAGGCAGCTGATCAATGTTTTGATGTTTCTTTCTTCCCCTCTAAAAATCAATAAAAACATATTTTAAGGGGAAGGGACAGCCTAGGCTGTTCCTACTCCTTCACCTGCAGCCCCACAGGGCCTCAGCTGAGGAGGCCATCAGGGTGCCATCAGCAGGCACCCTGAGAAGGAAAGGGCCCCATGGGAAGTGGCTGGGGAACACCCAACTGAAACACAACAGGCTCTTGCTCTGCCACACACTGAAGAGTGCCAGGTGCACTTTAATGACTTCCCCGACCCTCTCTCTAGCCAGGCAGCCCCCATGGGCTCTGGCTGGCCGTCCTCTAGTCGCAGGAGCCATCCTTCCAGCCGTCACGCCAGCGCTCATCCACTTTAGAGCAGTCGAAGTCCGGCTTGCCTAGCTTTCGGTTCACCTCGTTGTGCAGGCGGCACAGCCACTGGGTGAACGATGCCCGTGTGCGCGTGTCTGGCTGGTTTCTATGTATCCTGTGTGGGGGGAAGCACATGGAGAATGACAGGCAGTGGTCAATTCAGAGACGGGATGCTGCTGTAAGCTACACCCGGGTGTAGCTCACGTCCTAAGAGACAGTAATTCCCAGAACAGGGCTGAGCAGGAGAGTCCAGGCTTGGTGGAAGCCTAGGCCAGCTCAAAACCTCACTTGGGGAGCTGGATAAACCCTCACAAGAGCCCAGGGCAAGGCATTAACTCGGATCAGGCAACTTTCCAGCCTCAGAACAATCAGGAAGCCTCACCCTGGCCCCAAGCAGTGTGGAAAGGGTGGGGCCTGCACAAAGGCGTAACTATAATAAAAGCCAGACCAGTTTCTTGGCACACAGGGCTCTGGTGCCTCAGCTCAGCAGGAGACCAGTTCTAACGGCTCAGGCTTCAAACGGCAAGGGCTGCCTGCCCATTGAGTAGAAAGATGGTTGATGATCCAAGCCCCTGTTGTGGTCCCTGCTCTTGGCAACTCTCTGCCATTTCTGCAACTTTTTCTGAGGTTCTCCTTTATGACATCCGACAAGGGCTCCAGGCAAACGGTACAGAATAACTCACCTCTTCCTTATGTCTTCCGCACATTCCTCACATGGGTAAAATTTGGAAAACAAGTGTATGAGTTGGGCCATGTCTTGCTGTTGTTCTGGGGTGGGCAGGTCGGGGTAGTAGGCAGCCAGGGTGTGGAGGACGGCCCAGCTGTGGCGGCCCAGTTCCTCACGATCCTGAGGACAATCTTCCCTAAATTTGCTGCCCCGCTGCGGAAGGAGGCGGAGGGTCAGTTCAGTCTCCCGTTCCAGAAGCCTGTGAAGCTCCCCTTTTTCCCTCCCGGGCCGGAGGCCCAGACGCCAAACGTTAGTCCCTGCGGCGGGTCGGGTCCTTATGAGGCTGAAAGAGTAAAGGCCGGGCCTGCCTTGGGGGCAAGGTTCAGGACCAACCAAACCTGGGGGCAGTGGGATCGGGAGGCCGGGGCGTCGGGAGGCCTGCCCCGCGAGCCTGAGAACGCGGGGTGTGTGTGTCGCGGGACGGGAGGAGGAATCGTGTGCGGGCCGGGGCTAGGGGTGAGCAGGGCTTGCAAGCCTCGGAGAAGTGACCCCCGCCTCCCCCCGCCCCCTGCATCTGCACCTTCTGCTGCGTCCGCATCCACGACTTGAAGTCCACGCAGGCTCGGCAGTGCCGTCTCCGGGAACCGTCCTCGGCGGCCTGAGGTTCGGGGGTCGGTGCCAGCGTTGGAGATGGGGCAGGGGCGGCAGCGGAGTCTCTCCGTCCCGCGCCCCGGCCGCGCGCATCCGTCACCAGGTCCTCCATAGCTTCGGAGCGCGCGCCGCCGGGCAGGAAGGAGAAGAGGTTCCCGACCCCGAAGCGCCCCCGCTCGCTGGGCGCCGCCATGTTGCCCGCGCAGTGCCTGCCGGGCCAGCGGGGCCTCCAGAAGGGCCTCCCAGTCGGCCTTCAGGCCCGCGTGCACACAGCCACCGCGCGCGGCCACGGGAGCCCAGCGCGCTCGCCGCGGGCTCGGAGCGGAGGCCGGGCTGAGCGGCGCGGGGTCTGGGTCCGCGCGGAGGAGGAGCCCGGAGGGGGCGGGGCTGGAGCCGGGCCGCTCCCGGAAGGAGGCAGAGCCTGAGGCTGAGGCTCGGGTCAAGGACCCGCCGGATTCTCGGGCCCCCGGTCCGAGGCGGGGCCAGAGGCCCGGGTGCTGCCCACGCCCCGGGGCCTTGTCCCGCGGCCCGAGCCCGGCTGGCGAGGTCCTCGGCCAGGCGCCCGCCTCCTCCAGAAGAGCAGCGTGTGGTGGAAGGTGGGCTCGGACGGCGGCCGAGGCGAAGTCCGTGTTTCGACCCTCAACGCCACCATGGCTCCCTCCGATCGTCCCGCGTGCCCGGAGCCAGCACTGAGCCTTCCACCAAGGGGACGCCCGCAGCCCGCTACGCGGCGCTATGGCAACGTGGGCGGGGCCTGAGCGCAGAGGGCGGGGCGCCCTGGGGGACGTCCCGGGGGCGGGGCGGGGCCTGTGCCTGCAAAGCAGGCGGCGCCTCTGAGCTTCTCTGCGCGAACTCGCCTGCGGGAAGGAATTAAACCTAGGAAGCAGTGCCTCCGGGAACTCTGCTTCTGTCCCTAATCAGTCTTCCCGCAAATAAGTGTGTAATTGCCTCATCTGTTCCAGACACCATTCCCGGCGCTGGGCAGGGCGGGTATCAACATCCAGCCCTGACATCCTAGTCCTGGGGTCAAGATGGGGTGGGGTGGGGGCCATAAGAGGGCGAGGCAAATTCAGGCGGCTTTCTAGAGAAGGCGACCCTTATGCCAAGGCCTAAAGGATATGAAATCAGCTGAAGGGGGCAGTCATGGACGAGGCTGGAGGTTCCGGTCAAGGACCCGCCAGATTCTCGGAAGTCTCAGCATAGGCTGAAAGGCGGTGGGACAGGACCTGGGGAGAAATCCAGAGGTGGACTGCCATGGGAACTGGGAATTTATTCTGAGAACTATAGGAACCTACTGGACAGTTTTGGGTAGGGGTACCTCTACCTGATTCCATTTCTGTTTTGCAAAGATTCCTCTGGAGAGTCAACTTCATAGGAACAAGTGAGGAACATGGGCATTAGGTGTGTGTGTGGGGGGGGGAGTTGTAGTTGCCCAAGTGAGAGATAAGGGGGGGGGGGGCTATGGAGAGGGGAATAGTGGAAAGGTCCAGGGTTGTGGGGAGTGTAGAAGCAGGGGGTTATCAGTGGGTTACTGAGGGGCCTCGGCAGCCTTCTAGGTTCCTGGCTGCTAGTAAATTGGCTCTTTCCTAGCTTCTATCCTTTGTCTTCCAGGGGAGCAGGGTCTGTCCCTACCTGGACTCTGCCAGGCCAGCTGCCCTCAGCTTAGCCCCCCCCCTGAGATTGGGGAGAGTGAGACAGTTGGGCTAAAGGCCTATACCAACAGGTGTTCACTGTCCAGGCCAAGACCAGTGAAGGTTTGAAAGCTTCAGAGCGAGCCACTGGAGGGACACACAAAAGCCCTTTGTCCACGCCAGGTGGTTTCCTGGAGGGATGCCCAGTCACTGACTCCTCCCTGAAGGGCTTGGGGTGGGGTCCCAACGCAGAGCTGGCGGCCTCAGTGGCAGGAGGAACACTGCACCAGGGTTAGATGGGGCTCCAGAAACCTCCCCTGTGAGAAAGAGCCAGGAATTGTGGGCACCTGCTCTGGAGACTAAGGGTCTTCTCACCATCCAGTGGGGGAAGGTCACTCCTGATCTCAGAGTCTGTGCTTGCAGTAACTTGTAATAAATTATAAATTTAGAGGCAACTCTCAAAACAATCCTAGTCAGCCCCCCTCCCCCAGTGCCAGGGACTGTAGAGAGGGGGTTATCAGTGGGTTACTGAGGGGCCACCACAGGGAGGGAAACCTCTGGGGTAAGCCTGTGAGACCCGCCCCTCCCCAACACATACAGAAATACTAACATTATTCACTTAACACAAATTTCCTCCTTGGTGCATGGAGGACATTGAGAAATCTTCCCTCCAGTGTGAGGGCGGATTAAGCCGTTCCCAATGACAACCGTGCTAACTGTCCACGCAAGTTCAAAGGCAGTGCATGGGGCACACCTTGGCGGGAGGCTCTCACCAACCCCAGCATTATGCAGGACTGGGAGAGCAGGGAGGGGGGTCCAGGCCCAGCGGCACTTTGATGGGCTCTTCCTTCTCCACCTGCCATGGCAGCAGCCCCAGCCCCTCCACCACCTCTGTGCCCCCCCTCCTGCTCCCCAGATCTTCAGCCGGAGGCCAATGAGGAAGCTAAGAAGGACAGGGGGAGGGCAGTGCTGCAAAGACCTGGCAGGTCTGAGGCATCAGGGGAATTCCACCCCATCTTCCGGGTACTTCACCTCGTCCCTGTGCGGTTGGGAGCAGCAGGTGATTACCACCCGCTTCTGACTCCAGAAGCATACGATCTGGACCCGAGACCACAGCTATGGTGGACCCTAGGCACCCAGTGTCAGTCCGGGCAGCAGCTCTGGTGCAGATAGAGAAGCTCCAAGTAAGTGCTGGTCCCTGTGGACCCTCGGAGGAATAGGGAGGGAAGGAGGGAGAGGGAGGGAGGGAGGAAGTTCAGGGCCCAGTCCCTCCCAGGTGCCCCAGCCTTTCCTCCAAACAGATGTTCGCCTTCTCTGTGTGCTGGTCGGATGACAGCAACACGTTGGTGCGGAGAAGCTGGGAGGAATTCAAGAGGCTCCATGTGAGTGAACCTGGGACTTCCTCTAAAGGAGCTTCAGCCCCACCATGCCTGCCCTCGCACTGTGCCGGCTTTTAGCCCCTGCGATCCCAGGAGATCCCCCCACCCTCCCACAGTTACCCAGTGGGCCCTCAAACACCAACATGCCGGTTCTCTCCCTTAGAAAATCCTCAAGGAGACCTTCCCGGTGGAGGCAGGCTTGCTGCGGAGATCCGACCGAGTTCTCCCCAAACTTCCGGGTCAGGCACCAGGGATTCTGGGAGGAGTAAGGGGAGGGGCAGGAGCAGCAACCTGGTGAGAGGAGCCCTGGGGTGGGGTCCCATGTTCTGTCCCCTGTGGTCCCCACAGACGCATCTATATCACTGTTGGCGCGTGGAGGGCGCACAGGCCGAGGCCTGGTGCGCCTGCGGTTGCTGGAGACCTATGCTCGGGCGCTGCTGGAGGCAGAGCGAGTGTCCAGGGGGCCGGCGCTCATTGCCTTCTTTGAGCCACAGCTCCAGGATCTGGAGCCTTCACTACCGCCCGGCAGGTGCCTGACCCACCCCTAACTCCCACGGGAAGCGTTTGGGTGGTGGGGGCTGAATGACGGAGAAAGGGCCTAGGCAGCACAAGGCTGGGTGAGGTGGCGGCCCATCCCCATACCACTCTCCTGTGACTGCCCTTTCTAGCCTGGTGATCCTGCCCGTCCAGGAAGAGCCCCCACCCCGCCCTGAGGGCAGTCTTGCCATAGGCGGCCAGGAGGCTCTGAGCCTGCACTGTCTGCAGCCCTTCAGCACCCAGGATACACGGGGCCAACCCTTCCGTGCGCAGGCCCGGGAGGCCCTAGACGTGCTGCTGCGACACCCCTCAGGTGGGCTGGGCAGGAGTCTGGGGGCTTGACCTGCTGCAGCCAGGATCCCAGTGTGCCAGGGGATCTGAACCCCGGCCCACCTTTATGTACAGGCTGGTGGCTGGTGGCTAATGAAGACCAGCAGACGGCATGGTTTCCTGCTCCCTACCTGGAGGAGGTGGCCCTGGGTCAGGGACAAGATGGGAGACAGCCCTTCCGGAATAGCGGTAAGGAGACTAATCCCCTCCCAAAGCCCCCCCCGCCCCCCCCCACACACACTGCTGGGCAGGGTGCAGCAAGGCTGGGGGACAGAAAGCACCCAACCCAAGGGTGAGATGCAGTGGAAGGACTAGGTAGTGGCAGCAGTCTCCTAGTATGTACTTGGGCCCATAGAGGGTTTTAGAATGGTCCCTGGCATTAGCAGAGACACAGTGAGATTGATGAGGGGACAGAGATGGAAGCCCTGTGCTAACCACCAAAAAACCCACTCCCAGGCTTCCAGTTCTGTGCTTCCCAAGCTTATGAAGGCAGCCAGGCCGACGAGCTGTCAGTGCCTGCGGGGGCAAGAGTGCGTGTGCTGGAGACGTCGGACAGAGGCTGGTGGCTGTGCAGGTGGGGCCCTGGTGGGGGAGGGGGCAGTCTATGGGGTTGGGAGGGCAGGGCCAGGTGCTAACCAAACTGCCCTCCTTGCAGGTTCGGGGGCCGCACAGGGCTTCTCCCCTCTGTGTTACTGCAGCCAGATGGGCTCGGCATGCTTCTGAACGGACCAGAGTTCCATTCTGGGGCAGAGCGGGGAGAGAACAGGGCGAGGGAAGCCCAAAGCTCCCCTAAGTCCCCCCAGGTCACAACACTTCCTCCTACCGTGCCAGCCCGCCCCCTGCTGAGTGCCATTCAGAACCGCTGCTGCACCATTACCCGTAGGGCACTGGGGAGGGACCCACGGAGTCAAGGACATCCTTGAAGGTGTGTGGAACCGCATGGAGAGAGTGCTGTGTACCCCATCACCCCCAGGGCAGGGGGAGGTGCATTTGAGGGTGGGACTTGTGGCTGGCAGGGCCAGGAAGCTACACTCTCCCGTTTCCTCTGAGTGAAGTGTCCATGCTGAGGGGCTGAGCCTGTTGGATTGCACAGGCCAAGACACAGGGATGATGCTTGGCCAAGGCTGTAGCCTGGGACCTGGGTGAGACAAAAGCCTAACAGACACAGGGAACTGGGATAAAACCTTCTGGTGTTTTAACAAAAAACAACAATAAAAAACAAACAAACAAACAAACAACCTTATGGCATTCAGAGGGCGGAGGGGGCGGCGGGGAGGGTGGGCAGCTTCATGTTGTGCCACAGGAAGTCCAGGAAGGTGGCTGCCTGCAGGGTCCGGCTGAGCCGCTGGAAGTGCCTCTCTGGAACGACAGAGAAGTCAGGGGGTCCACAGTCCGGCCAGGCTGCTCCCCGCCGCAACCCAGGGCTGTGGCCATTACCTGTGTAGGGCAGCAGGGCCTCGAGCGAGGCCTGCACGCCTTCGTACGTCAGCAGCTCCTCCGGGGCCTCGTGCCGCAGGAGCACGCCCAGCACGGCCTGGGCTTCGTGGCAATGCCGCGAGTTGGTGTTCCACGTGACGCAGAAGCGCAGCAAGGCCTCTGCAGGTGAAGGGATGGTCAGACCTGCCTGCTGGCCACCCTACTCGTACCAGTCATTGTCCAGCCTCTACCCTCCTGCCCCGAACCTTTCTGGTCTCGCCGAAGTCGGAGCACGGTGGTTTCCAGTTTCTCCAAGGCCTCAGGGTCCCTCCGGATGGCTGCCGGAGGAGGGAAGATAAGCCGTAGGGAAGGAGCAGGACAGACCTGAGAGGACCCTCCTCCCCCTCCACGGCCGCCTGTCAGGCCCCTGAGGTAGCACTGACCCTGGATAACAGTCAGCACGGTATGGGGCCGGTCCAGGGAGATGGCCAGGCCCAGCGCCCGCAGGTACCGCTTCTCCTGGAGCAGGTTGTCCAATTCTTGCTGCCTGGCGGGGGAAGGGAGGAGAGGGCCACATGGCTGGGGCTGGAGCTGAAGGCAGAGCCATGAGGGAGCTGGCTTAGGAGTCAGCAGACCCGGCCTGAGCACTCACTGATGGTGACCTGTGTCAGCACGCCAAGCCTCAGTTTCCCCCTGTCATAAAGCAGGGGTGATGCTAATATACCCTACCCCGAGGGAGAGGGTGATATTGACGCATGGGAGGTGGCACTCACAAGGAGGCTGGGTGGGAACCCTCCAGACTTACTTGACCACCTGCTCCTCCCGCTTGGCCAGCTCCTCTGCCTGCTCCATCTCGGTAACATCCTAGGGTCAGACTGGGGTCAGAGTGGAACCTCATGCTGCCCTGCCCACTCTTTGCCCACTGCACCAATGCCCACACACCTTCCAGAGGATGACACAGGAGTCACTGGCGCCGGTAAGAGCACGGTCGTCCAGCTGGCTGCAGTGAAGCCCCCAGACCTTGTCCTGGTGGGCATCCAGTGTCCTCACGCACTCATTGTTCTTGATGGTCCAGAGCTTCACGAGCCCATCAGAGCCGCTGGGTTTGGGATTGGAGGGGGCTCAGCACTGGGACCTGTCTCCCAGCTCACCACCACCCCTGCCCTGTCCCCAGCCCAGTCACCTGGACAGCAGCTGTGTACCCCGGCTCACAAAGGCCACCTTCAACACAGACGCATCATGCCCCTCGAAAGTCTGCAGGGTTGAAACAGGGAGGGTATGAGACAGCATCCAGGAGGGACCAGGACTGGGGTGAGGGGCGGGCCTGGGGTGAGGGGCACTTACCTTAAGGCAGCTGAAGTCCTGCAATGCCCAGAGCTTGACAGTGCCATCAGCTGAGGCAGTGGCCAGCACCTGGTCCATAGGTGAGAACTGGACACACCAGAGGCCACGCCGGTGGCCTGAGAAGACACCCAGCAGCTGGCACTGTGGCAGGGCCCAGAGCTTGGCTGTGCGGTCCTGTGAGCCTGTGGCCAGCAGCTTGTCATTGGGAGCAACAGCTACACTGTTGATGTCCTAGTGATGGCAACAGGTGGCAGCTCAGATACCCCTGCCCCAGTGAGACCCTGCCCCAGTGCCACCCCAGTATGCTCACCTTGTCATGGCAGCGTTGTGTTGCCTGGGCCTGTAGGAGAACAGGGTCACTGTCCGGGGCTGTGCTCTTGGACAGTAGGATTTTGGGGATGGGCCACAGCTTCACAGTGCAGTCCTGGCTGCCCGTCACCAAGAAGCTCTCCTTCAGCCTAAAGCCCAGTGGGGGGGGGGAGGGGGCAGGGAAAGACGCCCGATGAGCCGTGGCCAGCCCAGTCTGCCTGTGCACCACAGCTCAGGCCTGCAGGACCGTGGTCCAGATCAGAGGGCTGTTCCAGAAGGCAGATGCCTGAGGTGCCCAGACACTTCTCTGGGACCACTTGTCTGCACAGCAAGCCCTCACCGCCGCCACCCCAGGTGACTTTGTTCCAACAATGGGACCCCAGGCCTACATACAGGGAGCGCCTTCTCAACCTGCACTTGTTTAGTGTCGTTCTCTCTGCCCCAACATCCTACCTCTTTCATCCACCCAGCTCCAAGGCCACTTCCTAGGAACCCCCACCCAACAATGGCACCTGGGTGTTCCTGGCCCATTCGTTTGTTACTCTAACCCCTAGGTTAAAACTTCAAAGAGCAAGGTCAAAGGCACCACCTTCTCCTCTCCGTCTCCCTGAGCTGAGACTCCATCAGCAGGGCCTAGGTCTCCACGTCTGTGACACTCTGGCTCCCAGCCCTGGCCCACTACCTAGAGCAGCAGATGGTGCCCACGCTGTGTGTGTGCCCAGAGCCCTGAGCCACACAGGTCACTTCGCCAGCCTTGTTCATCCTCCAGATGCGAATGCTCTGGTCCTGCGGACAGGAGGGGTGAGGACAGAGGCTGGGCCCGACTTTCCCACTGGGGACCTATGCCTCCTCACCTCTTGGGGTACCTCACCTTGGCACAGCTGGCAAAGAGCCACCCCTTCCGAAACACATCCAGGGCAAGGACAATATCTGAAAGAAAAGTGGAAGGAGAACGGTCAGGGGTCAGTTAAGGGAAAGGGTCCCAGGAGCGTTGGCCTGGCCCCTCACCTGTGTGGCCATGGAGAATCTGGCAGGCTGATGTCTGTAGCTCAAATACTTTCAGGCAGGGGCTATTGGAGGCCACGACAATGTGCGAGTCCTCAGGCCCAAGGAACCGAACATCCAACACCTCCTCACTATAGCCGGCAAACTGCAGGGTGGAGGGACACGAGTCAGGGCTCACGTGAGAAGAGGGTCTACATCCCCAGACCGAGGGCTGACCAGGGGGCAGTGCTCACTTGTTTCTGCAGCTTCAGAGAATGTGCTTCGTAGAGCAGCAGGTTGTGGTCGGCAGTGACAGTGAGGAGCAGGCCAGCAGCTCGGACCAGGGTGCAGTGGGTCAGCTCCCGCCCAGGGCCTGACAACTGCTGCTGGGTGTGCACACACTGCCCAGAGGCCGCCTCCCACACGCGCAGCACACCTATGCAGGGAGAGAGGCTGCTGGGACTCAGGTCCATGGGCCACGCCCAGTCCCTGCTCCCTGCCCTGGCCCCACGCACCTTGGTTGCCAGCTGTCAGGAAGTGCAGGCCCGTGGACTTCACACCCAGCTCGGGTGCCAGCTCCTCTGGCAATAGCACTGCGGCCTCCACACTCTGAGGAGGAGCAGGTCTGAGGTGGCAGCCCCACTCCCAGCCCCAACCCACTCACTGGCCCTGACCCCCCAGGTGCCCCACCTCAAACACAGGGATGGTCCTCAGGACCTGGTGGCTCCGCAGATCCCAGACAATGCAGATCTTGTCCCGGCCCGAGCTGGGGAAACAGCCACCTCAGTTCCCAAGTCTCCGCCATGGCCCTCCCTGCCTGCTGAGACCTGGACAGCTGATTACTGACCTGAGCATGGTGTGGCCATCAGCACTAAAGCTAAGTGAGGTGACAGCACTGTAGTGGGCAGTCAGGACAGCCAGGCAGGACTGGTCCTGTAGCGACCACACTCGGATGGCGGCGTCTGTGGCTGAGGAGAAGAGCAGCAGGCGTGCAGGGTCCGGGTGGAAGGCCACCAAACTGCAGGCAGGGAGGTGCGGCAGGTGAGCTGTGCCATCCCAGTGTGATGCCCCACTCACCCAGGCTCTGCTGCCCCTACTCACTGCACGACACCTGGCGAGCCCCGGAAGTGGTGTGTCCCATAGTGCCGCACAATGTCCCAGACACGCACAGCCCCGTCACAGCCGCCTGTGGAAACGTGTTTGAGGTGAGGGGGCTGGTGTGCCCAAAGCCCCGTGCCCGCCAGCCGGCCCGTCCACCTGCTGGGCCCTACCTGTGGCCAGCAGTGTGGAGGTGGGATCGAAGGCCATGGTGGCCACAGGGGCTGTGTGTATCGCTTTCCACAGGCGGACGACACTGCCCTCTCGCCAGGCCCAATGAGCCAGTAGCAGTGCCCGACTGGCTGTCACTAGCACCTAGGGGAGGATGTAGTTTATGGGTGCTCCTGGCACCTAGGGGAGGATGTAGAGGACCCATCCTCATAGGCTCAAAGTTTGATTGGGAAATACTGGAGCCCACCTCCCACCCCTGCCCCAGATACCTCATCATCAGGGCTGAGATCAAAGGCAGTAATGTCCTCCTGGTCCTCCTAGGGGAAGAGTGGGCGCACAGAATGCTATGAGAATAGGCTGCTTTTCCACACCAGTCCCTAACCCTGGCTCTGCCTGCCCTCACCTGCTCCAGGCTCTGCAGGATGGCCCCTGAGGCCACATCCAGGATGTTGACTTTGGTACCACAGACGCAGAAGAGGTACTTCCCAGTCTGGTCCAGCTGGTGACAGAGAGGGTCTCAGCCAAGGTAACACTCGGTAATCCCTGCCTGCCCCACCACTCTGCCCCGCCCCCACGAGCTGGTACCTGCACCTTCCCGCCCTTGTAGAAAGGCTCGATCTTGCGCTCGACAGCATAGCTAAAGGGTGGACAGAGAAAGAGAGTGAATCACTTACTCCTTGGTCCTCAGTGCCAAGCCCTGTGCTGGGTGCTCTCCCAGAAGTCAACCCAATAGGTCCTTGTGACTGAGCCTCTGGACAGCAGTAGGGATGGGGTACTGGCGATGATGAGTTCTTTTCACTGTTGTGAGGTGGGTGTTGGTATCCCCTTATTACAGATTACTTGAGACCCAGAGCTGGGCTGGTGATCCACAGAGGGTCCCACTACAAATATTAATACTATCCAAACAGTCCAGTTTTCCCAAATTCCCCAGTGCACATCAGGCCAGGCCTTGGGGGCCCCCTGCTGGCCATGGGAAGCCAGGCCTGAGTACTGGCCCATGGCAACACACTCAACACCATCCCTGAGGTCCAGCCTGAACCCTTCCCGAATCCTTCCTCCATCCCCAGCCTGGCCAGCATCTCAGTCCCCAAGCAGTCCTAGTCCATCCTGCTCGGCTGCCTCCATGTTGGTCCAGGTCTCACTGCACTGTCCTCTCTAGAGAGAGGTTCTAGCATCTTCACCAGCAGCCCGCCCCCCCAACTCTCTCAAACCCTCTGCCAAAAAGATCAATTAGGACATAACTCTGTCATAAAATCCACTCCTCTCCTTGCATGTTTCCAAGATTCTGCCCAAAGGGGACACTGCTAACTTTTTCTGTTTTGAACAGCCTGTTCCCTGTGGGTGGCCTGGACCTCTCTTGCCAGTTTTCAATGGCGCATTCCACTGGGGTAAGCTGTATTGCCAAGATAGCCCAGGAGACCATCCACTCGGGCTTCTTTTGCTAGTGCTTGTCACAGCCACTGATGAAAATGATTTGCCAAATACATTTATGCCATTAAACTGCGCTGCAAAGGGCAGGGCTGAGTCTGTCCCTTTCCGGACACTGAGCATTTATTAAACTGATAAGAACAGATACTATACTTGATCTTAGCCAAAAGAAGGGATGGGCACTGAGCATTTAGATGTTCACCAGAAACTTGGGGGGAAAACACAGAATTCAGGGCTTCCTAGGCCACTGCGGACGGCCCGTCTCCTGACCTGTCTTCCTGCTCCCCGGAGAAGAGGGACAGCAGGTGAAAGCTCCCAGCCGCCTGACCCAAAGGTGGTGGTTCTCCGCTCCCCGAAGGTGTCAGAGGTCCCGCTCCCATCCAGAACCGGCCTCCATTTGTGCTCAGCCCGCCCCTTCCTCCTCGAAGATTTCTCGTCCCCCATTCCCCAACTGGCTTCTAATTTATAATAATAGCCTGGCCGGGCCCCGGGCCCCCTTCCGAGAGCAGCCATTGCTGGCTCTCTCGCCTCATAATATCGCTACAGCCTCCACGACCCCGCAGCCCAGCCTGTACACAGTCCTCATCTCCTCCCCAAACCCGAATGGACACCCGGCCCGCGGCGGGCGCCTTCGCTCCTCCGGCTGCGAACCCGGTCCCCTCCCCGGCGGCGCCCACAGCGTCGGTGTCCCCGCTCACTTGGCCTTGAAGCGGCTCAGTCCGGCCGCAGCCTCCTCCATGTCGCCGCCGCTGCAGCCGCCACCGCCGCCGCCGCCGCGTGAGGGAGACCCGAGCGCCGCTCCGAACTGCCGGCGCGCCTCATTGACGTCACCGCGCTGTCACTGTGACGTCACACGACCGCGCCAATGGCTGTGGCTGCAGCGACAGGAAGCGGAAGTTGGCAGGATTGTACCCTGGCTAGGGCCGGTGGGATGGTACCGACTGAGTTCACTAGATAGCAGGCATTTTAATTTTAATTCAATTCAATTTAATTTAATTTTTTTATTGAACTTACTGGAGTGACATTGGGTAGTAAAATTTTGTTAGATAATAAAATTATATAGGTTTCTTCTATAATACGTCATCTTTATATCTGGCCTTGACTAGGAATTGAATCCGCAACCATAGCATATTCAGATGACACTAACCACCTGAGATACCCAGCCAGGGCAGGAAGTGCGATTGTAAATGGGGTTGTGGAGGAGGCTTATGGAGAAGATGACCCCTGAGCAGAACCCTAAAGGAGGTGAAACAGGGAGCTCCGTGGTTATCTAGAACAGTGCTTCAGGCTAAGGAACAGCCATTGCACAGGGCTGGAGTTAGGAGGAGCGACGAAAGCCCTTGTAGCTTTAGGGAGTGAGTAGCGAGGAGAATTATAAGGGTAGGGAGGTCAGAGATAATGGGGATTCACTGTGAGTCACTGTGATGAGTTGGCTTTTACTCAGGAATTTGAGTGTTTGTATTACTGGCTATGAAGCTGGTAAGCAAATTGTTAGGAAGTAACTGTGAAGAAGACTGGGAAAAACCTTTGAGACATTAATTTGAGTGGAAAGTAGTCAGGCAAAGGAGAGTGAGGGAAAGAGCTCTTGGGCAGAGAAAGTAGCCTGTGTTAAAATCCAGCGGTGGGAAAGGACTTGGGAGAGGTGGGGGGAGAGAGTCCAGAAAGTGTCCCTGCAGGGTGAAGGGAGTAGTGCCTGCAGAGCTGGAGGGCTGGCTGCAAGCACAGAAATGGCAGGAGCAAGCCAGTTCAGGGCTCATGTTTATTTATCCTTCAATTTATAAGGTACTTTGGTCCTGAACCCCCAACACCTCAGCCCCAATGCTGCCTTCTGGGGTGGCCTCGGCATCCTCTTGCTGGGCACTGAGGAGCAGCGCGTCGTTCTCCAGGAAGTTTCCAAGTTGGGCCAGCTGCCTGCAGATGAGGCTGGTAGTGTGGTGCACCTTGCGCACATGCTGGAGCAGGCATAGCACTAGGGTCTGGCTGCGATCCCGGTGCTGGCCCCACGCTCCGCGCAGCTCACAGTGGCAGTTGTGGGATACATGCTCCATTGGGTCCAGGGTGGTCCTACAGCCCCCGGTGCAGCGCTGCTGGGTACCATGCTGGCACTGCTGCAGGTGCTCCGCCAAGGCTCCACGTGCTATTGGCACCGTGCAGCCTGCGTTGGGGCAGGCCATTAGCTCGAAAGGGCATGAGTTCTGGTGCCCTTTGCGATGGGCCAGGGGGCATGTCACCAAACAGCCAGCTTCAGCGTTCTTGCACTAAGGGTGGGGAGAGCAAGGTGAGCCAAAGCAGGTCAGGCATTGCCAGCCTTTGAGCTGCCCACCCCAAATGATTGCCCACCCATGACATTCATTCCACTGACTAGGAACCAGTGAACTAACTGGGAACCTCCCATGCTCTTAGGCACCAATGATGTGAAAAGAGGGAAAGTTGGACAGATGCTTGGAGGTGGGAAGAATCTAGATCTCTGAGAGGAGGGGGATGAGTTGCACTAAACAATTGTATGTGTGCATGTATGGCAAGTTTTAATTTTTATTATATTTTTATTGATTTCAGAGAGGGAGAGGGAGAGATAGGAAAATCAATGATGAGAATCACTGATTGGATGCTTTCTGCACACCCCACTGGTGATCGAGCCTGTAACCCAGCCATGTGCCCTGACCAGGAATCGAACCATGACCCCTTGGTTCATAGGTCAAGGCTCAACCACTGAGCCATGCTGGCTCGTCTATTTTTTAATCTGTTTTTGCATCTACAAAATTAGGAGGCTGGGCAATGGTATATGTATAGAAATAATAATTTAATAAAAAAAAATTAGGCTGCCTTAACTGGTTTGGCTCAGTGGATAGAGCATAGGCCTGTGGACTCAAGGGTTCCAGGTTCAATTCCAATCAAGGGCTTGTACTTGGTTGTGGGCATAACCCCAGTAGGGGGTGTGCAAGAGGCAGCTGATTGATGTTTCTCTCTCATTGATGTTTCTAGTTCTCTCTTCCTCTCCCTTCCTCTCTATAAAACAAAAAAAATCAATAAAATATATTTTTTAAAAAATTAGGAGGCTGGAGAGTTAATAGCTGACAAAGAGATACCTTATCCTCTAAAAATTTTCTGATCCCCATTTTGCATTTGAGCCCTGGCTGGTGCTTCTCAGTGGTTAGAGCATTGGTCCACAAACCAAAGGGTCCTGGATTCAATTCCCAATTAAGGGCACATTCCTGGGTTGTAGGTTCGACTCATGGTCCTAGTCAGGGTGCATGTCAGAAGCAACCAATTGTGTGTCTTTCTCCCCTCTCCCCTCCCTCCCTCTAAAAAATCAATGGGAAAAAATATCCTCTGGTAAGGATTAACAACCAAAAAAACCCATTTACATCTGAGGCCCCAGGATCTGAGTAGTTATGTAACCTGCCCAAAGTCACAATGCAAGTACATGGAGCTCAGCCAGGGCGGATGGTCCCAAGACTGCAGTCTGTGTTGCTGGGGCAGAAGCCCTCAGTTCTCTGAGGGTGAGAATCTCCCAGCTCCCTCTCCTTGCTCTGCCCCATCCCCCAAGGGATACAAGGAGGCTGGTGGCAGTGGGTGCTTTGAACTACCTTCACTTCCAGGTGGCCAATGGTCTTTCGGAGCTTATTCACATGGACCATCTTTTTCCGTTTCACCTCTTTCCTGCAGCACGGACAGGTCGTTTGTCTAGGAGACATGATTTGGGTGAGTTTTGGGATTGGGAAGGGAGCAAGGGGCAGCAACATGTTGGTCCCTTCTCTCTAGCTGGAAGAGGCATGAAGAGGGCTTTCTAGGGACCTCTCAACTCTGAGGTCTGGCCAGGGGCTGCAGGCAGATAACACAAGGTGAGGGGACCCACACATTTCAGTCTCAGATTTAGCAGCTGGATCTTATGGCCATGGCTTTGCAGACCTTCCCCTCTATCCTGGGCTACAGAAATGGCCCTCAACCCCACCCTTGCCTCCCAGCCTCTTGGGAACCCAGTCGCACCTGGCTAGCCACCGGAGAATGCACTTCTTGCAGAAGATGTGGCTGCATGGCAACCTCATTGGCCTCTTGAGAACTCCGTGGCAGACAGAACACACAAAGTTGCTGTCGGGAGGGCTGGTGAAGAGGTTGAGATCATACCCGCCACTCTGAAAAGGCCAGGCCAGCATCAGGGGCTGGCTGGGACCAGAATCTGGTCACCCATTCCATATGCCAAGAGGGAGACCCCAACAAAAGCTCTGGGTAGGGAGGTGGGCAACACGAGAGCCTCAAGGGGAGGGGTGGGCCAGCACTCACTTTGAGGGGGCAGCTGTGGGAGGGTCAAGACCTTTGAATACTAATCCCCAGCTTTAGAATTGGTCTTTGCCTGGATTTACTCTTGGCCAGAGTGCTCTGAAAGCTTCCCTTATTCCATTTGGGAGCGTGTAAGCCATTGTCCACCCTTTCTCAATGTGAGAATTTGAGAATCGGATTTAGGCTAAGGTGACCAGACATCCCGATTTTTAACAATTTGTCCCGTGTCCCACAGTGTTTTAAAGTCTCGATTTTTGGAAAGAAAAACTGGGACTTTTTTAAAACGTTGTGGGATGCGGGACAAATTGTTAAGAATCGGGACTGTCCCGCCAAAAGCAGGACATCTGGTCACCTTAATTTAGGCACAAATATAAGGGCCAGAGGCAAGAGGGTCTTGGGCTCACCATGATATGTGTCTAGACGGCAGCTTCTGACCCGAGGCTGAGGGTCCTCCATTTCTCAGGGGGAGCTGGCCGACATCACAGTGGCATTGTCCCAAAGCAGGCCAATCACAATCCTGGTCCCAGGCCCACTGGGACTCTGCACCACCTGGCACTTAACTGCCCCCTCTCAAAGGGCACAGACCTGGGGTAGGTCCCTGTAGCCCCTGCCTTGGCCAGTGGCTGACAGCTGATCCCCAAGCAGCACCAGGCCAGGAATCAAACTCCTAGGGATGGTACCCCCAGGACTGAGACTTCAGCAGGAACAAAGGAATGGCTCCCCTCTTCCTCCTAAAATAGTGCTGCCCCAGTGGCTAGATCTCCAAGAACTAAGGGGCTTCAGGATCTAAGACCCAAGGTGCTCTAAGATACAGACCAGGGAAATGAGGACCAAACTGCCATTCAACCTCCAGTACAGGAAGAGAGCTAGCCTGTGGGAAAATCTCTGAGGCTTGGACCATCTGGGCAGGCCTATGAGAAAAGCATAGGGAAGTCAATTCCAACCTGAGAGAATAGCATGTTCCAACATGTAAAGCACAGAACAGAAAAGTGTATTTCCATACCACTGAGTGGTTCCCTCATCAAATCCTAAAGACACTAACCCTGTTACGGAGGAGCCACTGTTAGAACTGTGAATCTTACACTCCCATCCTTGCTAATGGCTAGCAGGCCCAGCGTGACTCCTATCAAGCTCAAGGTACTTTATCTGCTCTACTGTGGGATCCTAGGAGTCACCCAGCTATCTTGGAGACGCTAAGTTCTACCCCTGTGTGGCATCCGAAGTAGACCAGGGCTGGCTAGGAGGAGGAAGGTGTCCTACATGGGTCTCTCCTTCACAACACACACGGATCTTACGGTCAACCGATGCATTTTCCAGGGTTACAGGCAGGGGACCAAAAACACGCACATACACACGAAGTTGTAGACCAACAGCTTTATTAAAAAACTAAGACATCGAAGGACCTATATACATGCATATAAGTACAACCAGTGGACATAAAACTCTGGGGAGGGAGGGGATGTGTGGGAGGGAGGGAGGGGGGATAAAAAAAAATCAATAAAATATGTAAAAAAAAAAAAAAAAAAAGACAAAACAAAGTAGACAAGGAAAGAGGACAGCGAAGTCCCTCTACCGCCACGATCCTGGCGACGTCGGCCTCAGGCGTGGGGCATCCGGGAGTCCTGCGGGCAGAAAACCGGGTGAGGATCTGACATTGGATCACGTGATCCGCAACACCGAGGGCCCCGAATCGCGGCGCGTGTCGGGGCCTGGGTTTCATCTCCCCACATCGAGTGGACAGTGAGCTGAGGCCCCCGGTGCTCTGGGCGCCGAATCTCACCCACGGTCACGGCCAAGGCCGCAGGTGATTTTCAACCAACGCCGATCTCCCGACCACCCACCCAGCGACACATGCAACCCAGAAGCAGAAACGCGGACCTACCTGCAGTCTGCGGCGGCGCGCGCAGCGGCGGCGGCGGCGCGGCAATTTATAGCGACTCCGGGACCCGAAGATGCGCAGGCGCACGCAGAGCTGACGAGACCCCGAGGAGCCAATCACAAGCTGTCTTATAGTCCCGTGGAACACTCGCGAGAGGGATGGTGCAGTCTAGTTATCGCGGTACTTGGCGCCATATAAAACCTTTCTTCCTGCAATCTTTGTTCTTCTTTTCCGACAAAACACGTGAGTGTTCATTGCGATTGGTTTGGGCTGGGGCCTTGGCGACGGCGATCTGCGGACACAGGGCTGGACCCGGGGTGGTGTGACTGCGTCTTAGGCGGGAGGGAGCCCTAGTCCAGGCGACCGCGAATGCCAGGGCCTGGTTAACTGCTTTTTTTTTTGTCGCTCTATTTAGCAAATGGCGGATGACGCCGGTGCTGCGGGAGGGCCCGGGGGCCCCGGGGGCCCCGGAATAGGAAGTCGCGGCGGCTTCCGTGGAGGATTTGGCAGCGGCCTCCGGGGCCGGGGTCGCGGCCGGGGTCGGGGCAGGGGCCGAGGCCGCGGAGCTCGTGGAGGCAAGGCCGAGGACAAGGAGGTAGGTCCGGGCAATGCGCGCCAGACGGCCATGTGGGCGGCTTCGGGCGTTCTGTCTTCCTCACTGGCGCCCTTTCCCTCCAGTGGATCCCTGTCACCAAGCTGGGCCGCCTGGTCAAGGACATGAAGATCAAATCCCTAGAGGAGATCTACCTATTCTCCTTGCCCATCAAGGTAACGCGTGGGTTTTTTTCTTCCTTGGATGTTCGGTAGGTGCAGCCTTGGGGAGTCTCTTGAGGGATGACATTTACTGAGGGGCCCCCGGGTGTGTGAGTGTATGGGTAGTCTGTCTCTGACGTTGGTTTTCAATCTGTAAAGGAAAAACTGGTAAGTCAGAATACCAGTTCTACAAGGAAGCCAGGTCTCCCAATGACTACGTTCGGAGATGGTACTTATTTTAATCGTGTTTTTTCACAAATCTCGTTTCTCGCAGGAATCTGAGATCATTGACTTTTTCTTGGGGGCATCCCTCAAGGATGAGGTGTTGAAGATCATGCCTGTGCAAAAGCAGACCCGTGCTGGCCAGAGGACCCGGTTCAAGGTACCCCACCCACTTGGTGTTTTCTTGGCTGTCTCTGCCCAGGGGCTTCGTGAGACTCTCCCAGCTCTGCACTGTTACACTTGGCTTCACACGTGTGACTTTCGTAATGGGGAGAGAGAGAAAGGACCCCCTCAGGACCTCAGGTTGGCCTCACGGTGGCCAGCCTTTCCCTGAGGGGCGCAACAGGCCTTGGGTTGGGTAGCGGTTACTGATTTTGTGCAGGACAGTGGGACTGCCAGCCACTTCCGTCACTTCACAGGCATTTGTTGCCATTGGGGACTACAATGGACATGTTGGTCTGGGTGTTAAGTGCTCAAAGGAAGTAGCCACTGCCATCCGCGGAGCCATCATCCTGGCCAAGCTCTCTATTGTGCCCGTGCGGCGAGGCTACTGGGGAAACAAGATCGGCAAGCCCCACACGGTTCCTTGCAAGGTAGGCTGGGTGGTGGTGACTGATGGGGTCTTCGGCCGCAGAGTCCGGCCCTGCCTTCTGACTCCCACCCTTTCAGGTGACTGGCCGCTGTGGCTCCGTGCTGGTGCGCCTCATCCCTGCCCCCAGGGGTACGGGCATTGTCTCGGCCCCTGTGCCCAAGAAGTTGCTGATGATGGCTGGGATTGATGACTGCTACACCTCAGCCAGGGGCTGCACTGCCACCCTGGGCAACTTCGGTAGGTGGCCTTCACAAGGGCATAGCCCCTGAGCACTGCTTAATCACAGTATGGGCGGTTGGTGGCCTATTTGCAGAGAGAGGAAAACCCTAAGAGCAAAGTAACCTCTTACTAGGAGCGGGACAGCTTCTGCCTACATCTGAAGTCTTGTGTTTTGGGTAAATGCACGAACCCTTTTTCCTTTTGTAGCCAAGGCCACCTTTGATGCCATCTCTAAGACCTACAGCTATCTCACCCCGGACCTCTGGAAGGAGACAGTGTTCACCAAGTCTCCCTATCAGGTACTGCCTGCCCCCACTTCCTTGTTAACCAGTACAAATGCAGCGTGTCTGGCTCTACAGCGAAAGCCTTGTCTGTCTTTCTAGGAATTCACTGACCATCTTGTGAAGACTCACACCAGAGTTTCTGTGCAGAGGACCCAGGCTGCAGCTGTGGCCACCACATAATTTTCTACAAGAAAAATAAAGTGATGATTTAAGCCTGCTAATAGTTGCCTTTTATTTAGGCTCATCAACGAGTCAAGGTTGAGGGCTGAAGGTGATTTTATTCAGCAAGAAATACTCATGTGGGAGGGGACTTAGTGAGCAGCAGCAGCTCTGGCAGCTTTTCTCTCTTCAAGCATCCTCTGCTTCTGTTTTGCCAGGCACTTCCTGGCTGAATAATGGGCTCCCAAGTCGTGATCTGGAAAGAGATGGGGGGGGGGAAGAGTCATTGGGCCACTTCTGCCATAATGTGGTGTCAAGTAGAGTCAAGCATCCAAGACAGTTATTAGGCAGAAAGGGGACCTGGGGCACAGTGATAAATCCCTCTTACACCCTGCAAGATGGGAAACCATGACAAGTACACTGAAAACTGATTATTCCAGTGCCGACAGCTGTAAGGAATGGAGGGTTGGCTAGCAAGCAGGAGGGTCAGGCTGAGATGAGGCTCACTCACATCGGTCCTGGTAGGCCTTGGCCACCTGTTCGAACTGCTGCAACTCCTTAGCACAGTTCTGCTTGTAGCTCTCGCCTTCCCTCTGCTGACAGGCCTTCATCCTTTCTTGGATAATGTTAACAATTTCTTGGTCAACTTTGCTGAAAGAAAAAGGAACAAGAAAGGTGGCTTACAAAGAATCATTTCTCTGCACCCCGGGAGAGAATCAAAGCATGGGTTGGACCGAGCATTCGGTCCTCACCCCCTCCACCCTCAAGGTCTTGGGCATGATGTGATATGGCTCCTGTGCAGAGCTCTGTTCCCCAGTAAGAGCAGGACATACTAGTCTCTTCTCCACTGCATTTCTGCTTCGAACATGCACAAGACATCCCTTTCCTTGCACTCGGTGATGTCCGGCACCCGGCGGAACACCCGGTGGTAGTAGTAGAACTTGTTTTTTGCATGCTGCTGCTCTATAAACTCTGCAAAGAGAAACACTCAGACTCAGGTTCCATTGGTTTAGATGGACTCTAACAAGTCATAGGAGGGGCAGATTTCCCTCATTCTCAACTTTTACAAAGACTGGCAAGTGGACTGACTCCATTGTAGGCTGGGAACTAGGTTTTATGGGAGCTCCATGTTACTGTCCCCCCCCTCCCCCGCCCAACAACCTTATGGGGCAGGTTATTTACAGATGGCACTGAGATGGAAGGCAAGCTCCCACCCGGCCTGCCAGCCAACCCCCATCACAGATTCCAGTGTGTGGACAGACTCAGAGCCACCAGCAGGGGTTCTAGTCCCAGTTCTACCACCACTCACCTAGCCTAAACTTCCCCATAGGGAAGTTACCAAGTTGGACGGGGAAAAAATAGCAACTCAAAGGGAGGAAGACCTTGGGAGTCTGGTTTGCGGACTTTATCCTCCCTAACCAAAGAGCACATCATGCTCACCAAATGTTTTGTTCAATGAATGAAGCTGGCTGGTTAAATTCATAGGGATGGATTTCCTGGCACTAGTGACTGAGGGCAGAACGTATTCTTGCTGCCCCCCACCCCCACCTCCACCTCCACCCCCTCGGGGATGGCTGAACCACAAACTGGGCAGCAACTGTTTTAAACTTGACATGGAGCAATTTGGGCACACACGGAGGACAGGTCATAGGCTGAGAGGAACTCAGCCATCACCTGGCCACCCAATTATTCTGCAGGCATGCAGAGGGTCAGCAAAGAGCCCCTTCATTTCAAAACCCCGTTTGCTGGCACCTACTGCACACAGCGCAGAATGGGAAGCGTGCAGGGAGCCGGGTCTGACAAGCCCCAGGACACACATGACTGCGACAGGCAAACAACCCCTAATATTTGGGCAAAAGGATTGCATGGAGAGACCCCCAGCGGCGGGAACCGGCGAGCACTGAGAGGTTTGGAAGGGGGCGTCCCCGGGGCAAGGCCTGGGGGTGCAGTTGGGGGGTTTAAGTAGGCGATGAGGCCCGAAGACCTACGGGTGGACGCCCCGGGTTGCAGCGGGATGTCCAGGTTAGTTCCGCAGTCCCGGGGAACTCGGGGAGCAGGGGGACCGGGGAAGCCCGTACCTCTCACGAGGGTCACAGGCCGGTCCACGAGGAGGTCGAAGGCCTTTAAGAAATAGGTGACGGGGTTGGGCAGCGAGGTTTGCGGCGAGGGCGCCGGCGTGCGGCGCGGGGGCTCGGGGTACACGTCCTTGTCCCAGCTGTCCGGCATGGCGGCGGTCCGGCGGGATCAGTCCCGGGCGCGCTGTCCCTGCCTCCGCCCCGGCAGCGCCGCCGAGTCCGCCCGCAGCAAAGGACGCCCGAGGGCGGCTGCGCCTGCGCAGGGCGGGCGGTGCGCGCGAGGCACCATGGGACTTGTTCTCGCCACGCCCACGTTTGAGCTCGGCTTGCCTCGCGGTGTGGGCGCCCCCTCGTGGGACTGAAGCGCCAATGCAATGTGGCGCCCTCCGCGGGTTTCCATGAAGTATCCCTGCTTACATTCTAAAAATAAAGCCCTCGCCCTGAGTGGATGGCTCAGTGGATAGAACGTTGGCCTGCGGACTGAAGAGTTCTAGGTTCGATTCCGGTCAAAGGCATGTACTTTGGTTGTGGGCACATTCCCAGTAGGGGGTGTGCAGGAGGCAGCTGATTGATGTTCCTCTCTCATCGATGCTTCTAACCCCCTATCCTTCTCCCTTCCTCTCTGTTAAAAAAAAAAAAAAAAAAAAAAAAAAAAAAGCACTAGCCTGTTTAGCTCAGAGCGTAGACCTGCAGACTGAGAGCCAGGGTTCGATTCCGATAAAGGGCACATGCAAGGGCACATGCCTGGGTTTCGGGCTCCATCCCCAGTAGGAGGCGTGCAGGAGGCAGCTGATCAATGATTTTCTCTCATCATTAATGTTTCTCCCAATCCTCCCTTCCTCTCTCTCTAAAACGCAATAAAAATATTTAAAAAGAAATAAATAATAAAAGGGGACTGAATAAGTAAACTATTAAGGCCTGTGCCAAGTGTAGTGAGGAACAAGAGGAACACAGCTGGGCACTCCTGGAGAACTCGGGGCAGTAGAGCAAACAACCAACCACTCGTAAACAACATCAACTCTTCCAAGATGCCTCTTGGATTGCTCATGTCCTACAGCCTTCTCTGGGGGGGCTTTTTTGGGGGCCTCCCTGAGGCAGAGCAGAAGACAGGGCTTGCCCGTGAAAGCCCCCCCCCCTTTTATAAGGAGAAGTGGTTCCTATTTTGGGCACAGGGTGCTCTGGTCCTACTCAGATGGTTTCATCCTGGTCCTGAGCACTCTGCTGACCAGGGCCCTGCTGGCTGCCCTCTGAGATCTCCACACCCGGCATGGCCCCTGGCCAGCACTAGGGCAGGTACTGGTCATTTCCTGGCAAAGGTTGGGCCTAGAGACACAGAGCCATCAACTCTATGGACACACAAAATCTGGAATCACAGAAATGCCACCTCTTCAAATCATGAACTCTTGGAAACACACACTGTCAGACCCAAAGAATCACAACACTGGCCTGCAACATCAGACGGAACATGGGAACCCAATGGAGGCAGCGCTGAGCCACTGCCTTCGCCATGATGACATGATAGCGCTGAGGTGAGGACCTTCTGCTGCTGCCTGGGAGCAGAGGGACTCGAAGACCATGCAGCAGAAGCAGAAAAAGGTAAACGAGAGGGAGGGACCCAAGTAGCTTTGTGGCTGTGTCCAACCCTCCTGCCCTTGGCCTGTGTGCTGGAGCCAGTCCCACCCCATCTTTGACAGCACTCTACACCAAGGGCATTCCTTCTGCCCTGAGTCTGCAGCAGTTTCTTCTACGCTTTATTCCCTCAGTGGAAGGGGTTACCCCTTCTCTGTGATTTTATTCCCTTGGGACTCAGCTCAAAGTATTAAAAGTAGTTTTGTGCCCTATCTGGTTTATCTCAGAGGTTAGAGTGTTGGCCCACCGACTAAAGGGTCACAGGTTCAATTCCAGTCAAGGCTGCAGGTTCCTGTCCTTGGCCCCAGTGTGTGTGGGAGGCAACCCATCCATGTGTCTCTCTCACATCAATGTTTCTCTCTCTGTCTCTCCCCTTCCCTTCCACTCTCTCTAAAAAATCAATGGGAAAAATATCCTCTGGTGAGGATTAACAACAGCAAAAGTAGCACTGTAAGTAGAAACCAACAAAAACAAACGAGTTGTGATCTTTTTGTAGCACAGGATCTTAGCATTAAATGATGCAAAATCCCAGACCCTCAGAAACATCGTAGGCCAATAAAACTCTGGTTCTGCAGCTACAGGGCTTTATAACCATAGAATCTTTGTATAAAAAATAAGAGCTTTCAATGCCCATTTCATTAGAAACTTCAGCCCATGAAAGTATCTTAATGTTCTTGGATTACAGTCAAGGGATCCTGATATTGAACCAGGGCACAGAGTCAATCCTCCCCATCTCCCTGCAGCTCTGGCTCCTCACAGTACTCAGCTCACAGTACTCAGGACAGAAGGCCCCAATGCCTGCAGCCTGAACTCAGACCCTCATCTCCAGCAGCTGCACGGGAGAGGCCCCCCCGGGTGACTTCCTTCTGCCTCCCACCAGGCCAAGTTGTTCCTGGGAGCAAGTCTCACAAGAAGGAAAGCAAAATGGGCGTGACCCGTCACGAGGGCCTTTGAGGAAAGGAGTGCTAGCCTTGGCTCCAAGTGTCCCCATGCCCATTTGATGTCCCCCCCATCGCTCCGCCCAGGCCAAGCCCGCTCCTGGCACTGGAGCCCATGCCCGCCACGGGAGCTGACCAAGCTCTCCTGCCAGGGGCTAAATCTGGGATCTGGCTGTTGTGCGTCCTGGCCCTGCCACTCGACCTCGGGCACCTGACAGGGAGGCCCTTTCTCTCCTGACCTGCGGGGACCGGCGGCCATGGTCAGTAGGCTCGGGGGGGCTGGAGCTGGACCAAGCCAGCTTCCTGGGCAGGGGCCGGTGGGCATTAGGAGCTCCCCCAGCAGGGGTAGTCCTTGGGCCTGTGAAGGAGGAGGGGATTGGAGAGGACCGCAAGGGCCAGAGCTTGGACTGCCAGGCCTAGAGCAGGCAGGAAGATGGACGGATGGCAGCGGCCCCCTGTCTCTGTAACCCTCGCCCCAGTTGGGGCCTACTTCTCCTGGACCCGGCCGGGCTGAGCCCACTGAAGCAGAAAACCTGTGGGTGAGGAGGACTTGCTGCTAACTCCATTCATACGACACTGCCCCTGGGCCAGCCTCCCCATCCTCTACCGCAGGCAGATGGAGGCACCGAAGACCCCCGAGCATCAAGTCAATCTGGGGTCTCTAGCTCCCCTCTCTGGGTTGGGATCAGCCAACCATTTTCACCCGGGTGACCCCAGCTCTGACCTCCGTCTGCTCTTGTCCTCAGTCCCACCGGAAGTTCTCTGCCCCTCGCCACGGACACCTGGGCTTCCTGCCCCACAAGAGGAGCCGCCGGCACCGGGGCAAGGTGAAGACGTGGCCTCGGGATGACCCCAGCAAGCCCGTGCACCTCACAGCTTTCCTGGGTTACAAGGCCGGCATGACACACACCCTGCGGGAGGTGCACCGGCCAGGGCTCAGTGAGTGGCCGCAGCGGGGTCCCAGGGTGGGGCATTCCGACAGAGTCCCTCTGACGGCCAGGAGATCCGGAGAAACTTCCAAATGCTAGAGATCAGGGTTGGACTTCAAAAGGGGAAGGGACTCCGGGAAGGGCCCTGCCTGTGGGAATGGCAGCCCCTTGAGGTGGGTTCTGTCACTGCCCCCCGGTTCACAGATGAGGAAATGGGGTGGTTATAAGACGTGCCAGTGGCCCCATTAGTAAGTGGTGGAGCTCGGAGTCAAAGGCAAGCACCCGATTGTATTTATTGTTTTGGGGTCATTATAATTCACACGTGGTTGTAAGAAACAAGACAGAGAGATTCCATGTGTCCCTCACCTCGTCTCCGCCAACGGGAAACTGTATGTCACAGCAGGATGCTTGCTGACCCATGTTTCCCCAGCTGTGTTTGGGTGTGCACATGTGTATTTAGTTCTATACAGCTCTGTCATGTGTACGTGTGTACCCACCACCTTGGAATATTCTATCCCAGTGCCCTTTTATAGCCCTGGTCTCCCTGGTGCCCTTTTATAGCCACAGCTACCCCTCCCCCAACCTTTTGGCAGCCACTCACCTGTTTTTCATATATATATATATATATATATATATATATATATATATATATATTCTTTTTAGTCCTTTTATCTTTATTTAAAATTATTGATTGGAAGAGAGAGGGGAAAAAACTGATGTGAGAAAGAAACTTTGATCAGTTGCCTCCCACACATGCCCCACTGGGATCGAACCCACAACCTGGGTATATGCTCTGATCAGGAATTGCACCTGCCATCTTCTGGCGTACAGGACAGTGCTCAACCAACTGAGCCACATCAGCCAGGGTTCTCCTAAATCCATGGTCGGCAAACAGTGGCTCACGAGCCACATTTGGCTCTTTGGCCCCTTGAGCGTGGCTCTTCCACAAGTTACCACAGCCTGGAAAGTCTATTTTGAAGAAGTGGCATTAGAAGAAGTTTAAATTTAAAAAATTTGACTCTCATAAGAAATTTCAATCATTGTTCTGTTCATATATGGCTCTGTTGACTAATGAGTTTGCCGACCACTGAATGTATGTGTGTGTATACATATGTATTTTATTTTTTAAAAAAAATATATATTTTATTGATTTTTTACAGAGAGGAAGGGAGAGGGATAGAGAGTTAGAAACATTGGTGAGAGAGAAACATCGATCAGCTGCCTCCTGCACACCCCCTACTGGGGATGTGCCCACAACCACGGTATATACCCTTGACCAGAATCGAACCTAGGACCTTTCAGTCTGCAGGCCGACGCTCTATCCACTGAGCCAAACTGGTTTCGGCCAACATATGTATTTTAAATAAAAATACTTTCATTGATTTCAGAAAGAGAAGGGAGAAGGACAGAGAAAAACTTGATGTGAGAAACATTGATTGACTACCTTCTGCATGGACCATACTAGGGATTTAGACCATAACCCGGGCATGTGCCCTGACTGGGAATTAAACTGGCAACCTTTTGGTATATAGGATGATGTACTCAACCAACTGAGCCACATCGGCCAGGGCTCCCAATATATCTTTTAAACGAATAACTTCTTTTACTTTGTAATAGCCTCAGTAATAACATCTATAAAGTCACGGGTTCTGACA